AAATAACCAAGATCAAATCAGAATTAAATGACATGGAGATTAAAAGCACAATTCTAAGAATCAATAAGTCCAGGAGCTGGTTCCTTAAAAAGATAAACAAAATCAGCAAGCCTTTAAGGAGAAAAAGAGAGAGGGGCCCAAATGAACAAAATCAGAAATGAAAGAGGTGAGATTACAACTGATACCACAGAACTACAAAGGATTCTAAGAAATTACTATGAAGAACTATATGCCAAGAGATTCGAAAATGTAGGTGATATAAACAAATCTAGAAATATATAATCTTCCAAAACTGGGTGAAGAAGCATAAAGCCTGAACAGACCAATAAGAGCTGATGAAATTGAAGCAGTAATCAAAACACTCTCTACATACAAAAGCCCTGGACCGGATTGTTTCAGAGAAGAATTTTACAAAGCATTTAAAGAGAGCTAACCCCTATCCTTCATAGACTATCTCAAAGAATTCCAGAAGATGGGAGACTCCAGGTAAAGAAATAAAAAATCAAAAGAACTCCAGGCCAATATCACTGATAAACTTAGATGCTAAAATCCTCGATAAAATATTGGCAAACCCCATCCATCAATACGTTAAAACGATCATACACCATGATCAAGTGAGAATCATCCCAGGGATGCAAGGATGGTACAATATTCACAAATCAATAAACTTAATACAGTACGTAAACAGAATGAAACACACAAATCACATGATGATATCAATAAATGAGGAAAAAATATTTGCTAAGGTACAGGATCCAATTATGATAAAAATGCTCAGTGTGAGAATAGAGGGAGTGTTCCTCAACATAATAAAGGTCACATGCGAGAGACCTACAGACAACATCATACTCGATGGCCCAAAACTTCAAGTTTTCTCACTAAGATCAGGAACAAGACAGAAATGTCTGCTTTCACCACTTCTATTCAACATAGTACTGGAAGTCCTAGCCACAGCAAAAAGACAAGAAAAAAAATAATAAAAGGCATCCAAATTGGAAAGGAGGAAGCAAAACTGTCATTGTTTGCAGATGATATGATAGTGTACATAGAAAACCCTATAGACCCCACCAAAAATCTACTCAATCTAATAAGTGAATTTAGCAAAACAATGGGATACAAGGCCAATATTCAGAAATCAAAGTCATTTTTGTATATCCACAACGCAATATCAGAAACGAAAATCAGGAAAAAAATCTTATTTGATATAGCAACTAAAAAAACAAAATATTTAGGAATAAACTTAACCAGGGAGGTAAAAGGTCTGTACTCAAAAAACTATACAACACTAGAGAAAGAAATCAAGAAAGACACAAACAAATGGAAGCATATACTGTGTTCATGGATTAGAAAAATTAACATCATAAAAATGTTCATACTACCCAAATCAATTTGTAGATTTAATGAAACAGTTATTAAAGTACCAATGGCACATTTCACAGATATAGAACAAAGACTTCAAAAGTTTATATGGAACTATAAACAACCCCAAATAGCTGCAGAAATTTTGAGGAAAAACAACAAAGTATGAGGGATCAGAATACCTGGTATCAAACTGTATTACAAGTCCACTGTGATCAAAAGAGCCTGGTAGTGGCATAAAAACTGACACAAAACCAAAGGAACAGAATACAGAGCCCAGAAATAAACCCAAGATTCTGTGTTAAATTAATATTTGACAAAGGGGGCAGAAGCATAAATGGAGTAAAGATAGCCTCTTTAACAAATGGAGTTGGGAGATCTGGACAGCTACATGACAGAAAATGAAACTGGATCACCAATTTACACCACAAACAAAAATATATTCAAGGTGGATTTAAAAAACTTAAATATAAGTTTTGACACCATGAAAGTCGTAGAGGAAAACATTGGCAAAAAATCTCAGACATTCCATGAGGCAATATTCTCACTGATTTATCCCCTAAGCAAGGGACATGAAGACAAGAACAAACAATGGGACCTCATTTAATTAAAAAAGCTTCTTCATGGCTAAAGAAAACAGCATTAAAATGAAAAGAGAACCACTATATAGAAAAACATATTTGTCAATGATACCTCAGACAAGGGTTTGATTTCCAGAATACATAAAGAGGTCATAAGACTCCAGCCCAGGAAGACAAACAACCCAATTAAAAAAAAAATAGGCAAAAAAGTTGAACAGACACTTATCCAAGGAGGACATACAGAGGGCCCAGAGACATATGAAAAGATGCTCAACATCACTAGCCATCAGAGAGACGCAAATTAAAACACAATTGGATACCACTCCACACAAGTCAGAATGACCATCATAAACAAAGTAACAAACAACTAGTGTTGGAGAGGATGTGGAGAAAATGGAACCCTAGTGCACTGTAGGTGGGAGTGCAGACCAGTGCAACCACTGTGGAAAACAGTATGGAATTTCCTCAGAAAACTAAAAATAGAACTGTCTTTTGACCCTGACATTCCACTGCTGGAGTTATATTCTAAGAACTAGGGAATACCAATCCAAAAGAACCTATGCACCCCAATGTTCATAGCAGCACAATTTACACTAGCCAAGTGCTGGAAGCAACCTAGGTGTCCATCAGTAAATGAATGGATCAAAAGCCCATGGTACATTTACACAATGGAATACTACACAGCAGAAAGAAAGAAGGAGCCTCCACCCTTCGAAAACAGCATGAATGGAACTGGAGAGCATTATGCTAAGTGAAGTAGGACAAGTGGTGAGGGACAAATACCATATGATCTTACCTTTAACTAAAACTTAATCAACAAAACAAACAAGCAAGCAAAATATAACCAGAGACATTGAAATTAAGAACAATCTGACAATAACTGGAGGGGCAATGGGAGGGAATAATTGGGGAAAGGAGGAAGGGTTTATAGGAACAAGTATAAAGGACACATGGACAAAACCATGGGAGTCCTGGAAGCAAGGGAGGAAAGTGGGGATGTCTGGGGTGTGGGGAGTAGAAGGACGGTGTAAATGCAACAATTGTAATTGAACAACAATAAAATAATTTTAAAAAGTAAATAAATAAAATCCATAAGCAGGTCCTTGCATAAGGATGATAAAAAGAGAAAAAGAAAAATTAGTAAGCTGAGCTTCTGCTGGGTACTCTTGTTCTCTGCTCCTGGCCTCCATGCTTTATGGGACCCAACAAGCTCTGACACAGGTGGCAGCAGCCTTTACCTTGTCCTCTCACACTCTTTCTCCTGTGCCCAGGCAGCCAGCAGACTAGGGCACCACCATGCTTGGTGTTGGCATAAATGTGCCAGCTTATCCCTGAGTTTGCTTAGAGTCACCAAATCACCACATAAATCAGAGGTGAATAGCAGTCATCTGCGTGGGAAATCCACAGTGGCCAGTCTCTTGGGTGACAGCCATATACTGGGGCTGCCCTAGCCAAAGGGCATGGGACACTTTTGTGGGGAGAGAGGAAGCTGGCACAAACCTGAATCCTGGAACAGCAGTGGTTTCTGTGGGATTGAGAGGGCTCTGTTCATAATGAAAAGGTTTTAGATACAGAAAACAATGTCATATGAGGCCAAGTTAGGACCCAGAGAAGACCATCTTCAGAAGCAGGTGGATCCCCCCAACAGTCTTGCTGGGGACTGATATGAACAGAGGAAGTGTTTGGGGTATTTTCCCAGGTGGCAAGGAGCACTGACAACAGGGACCATTCCTGTTTTCAGGGAAGTTCCCTGAACTGAGGCCTGGAAACCTGGAAAGGAAGAGAGGAGTTACTGAGGAGGAGCACAGAGTAGAGGACTTGGGGAGGGGACAGGCTTCCTTAGCTTCCCCAGGAGGAGCTTCCAATCAGACATCAGTAGTGGGCTGAGTCTCCAGCCTATGACATCCTGTGGGGACAGAGGTTGGTCCCTGAGATGGTGCAGGGAGTCTGGACCTGGATTTCAAGGGGAGAAATAAGTGCAGGGGCAGCAACAGCAACAACTGGGCCACAGGATGAAGACCTGCTGCACCCCTGTGGATGCAGGAATGCAGAGGGAGGGGCATTTGGACTTAGTGAAAACACTCAGGCCCTGCCTCAACGTCCCCTTCTAGGAGGTGGCCCATCAATCAGCAGGGCTCCTGGTTTCCCTGACTCTCTTCTTAGGGACATTCTCAGGCTGAAAGTTCTGTGAAAGGTGAGTTTGCACCCTGGCAGGTTTCCCTGGGCTCACCATGCTGGAAAGGCCAGGACTCTGTGCTCCTCTGAGCTCAAGTGCACAGGGACAGCAGCAGCCTCTGGGATAGTGTGTGTGCAGGCTGTAGATTGGAGCAGTCAGAGGCCATGTGGATAAATCCACTTCTGGGGTTCAGATTTAGGGGTTATTTTTTGGCACACATCTAGGTCATGTCTCTTCGTCCAGATTTTACCAGAAAGAATGCTAGTATTTTCAGGTTTCTTTATGACCTTCTCCTTACTGGGATTACCCTCTTGACTCACAGAAAGACTGGTTGCCTGACTTTGCTGACCAGGAAGAAATGTGGACTTTCTACCAAAGTGCTGACCACCTCTCAAGGCTGTGGCTGCTCTCAGAGTCCGGTGATAGTACACTAGCAACATCACATGTTTGCTACCTGTGAGATTTGACTTCCTGCAGAATTGTCTTGTTATTGTTCACTTTCTTGAGTTTCAAGCTCTGTTCTCCAAATATTACTCAGGGTTTCCAGCTATTTTCTGCAAGAAGATGGCTCATTAGGAAGGAACTCACTGCTACAAATCAGAAGCAGAAAGCTTTGTACTTGCAAGTAAGCAGCAGAACAGCTGTGCCCATTCCCATGCTCAGCCCTGTTCTGGCTTCTGGAGATCCCAGTGGGTCCAGGCCCCTGAGCCCCTGTCCACCAAGCAGGAGAGATGCTTCTGTGCAGAGCATCACAGGCACATATTTGTTAGGAGAGACACAAGCCAGGCTAGATGCACTTTGTACTTCTGTGCTCCCTGGAGCAGGAACACACAACTATTTAGAAGGGTCTCCTTTATAAACAAAATAAGACAGCAAACAATAAGTCTGGTGAAAAAAACATGGTTTATTCTAGAATCTCAGTTGGAGTGAATACTTTACAAACCACCCATAATGATGAGACAGATAAGTTGTTGCTGAGAAGCCTAAGAATATGTGTTCTTTGCTAAAGGCAGAGATTAAATAACGGTTATCAAATTTGGTTTTACAAGCAAACAGAATAAAAACAAAGACACTGAAATAGAGAACAAGTGGGCAGCGACCAGAGGGGAGAGGGAAGGGAACTTAAGGGGAAAAAGGGGGAGGGATTTTGAGGAACAAGTATGAAAGACACAGAGATGAGGACTGGGGGGGGGGGATGGGAGAGAGGGGGGAGACCGGGTGGGGGGGCGGGTGGGATGGGAGAAATAGATTTAAAAAAATGTACTTGAAAAGTAACTAAATAAAATTTAATATTAAAAAAATTTTGGTTTTAGTCTGAAGGATTTATTTATAAAGCTGTCTCTTTCCAGGGCTTTCAGGCCACAGCCCTCTCTCTACCTCCTTCTGTTCTCACTCCCTGTGCATGTAACCAGAGAAGAAAAGACCCAGGTGTATGTGTAAAGGACACTTTGGCCTATTAGGAAACACAGACACAGAGTTCAGTCCCTGCACTCTGACATGGGCCTTTGTCAAGACTTGCAGAGACATTTCCCCACTCAGTTTACACAGAGACAATCAGAGAATACCAGGTCCCCTCCTCTCACACAGAAGGTGCTTCTCTCCAGCAACGCAGAGCAGCATGTGAGCTGACACCCAGAGGAGCCCTCTGGGGGGTTTGGGTAATGGGTCATTACGAAGAGCCCCAGGACCTCAGGAGCTCCAGGTCCTGCAGCCACACACACCCCCAGGTAAGACCAGAGCTGAGCTCCCCAGCATCTCAGCAAACAGCCCACATCTGAGACTAGGTAAATGGAACAGACAAGTATGACAACTTAGTGACCTTTCTTGTTCTTGGCTGTCCAGTGGGGTGGGGTGGAAAATCTCTTTTCTAGCATGATGACCACTTAGCCTTTATCTCCACAGCACAGGGCAATGGGACCACAGTCAACCTGCTCCATTGAAAAAGCTCCAGGATCTATAGCTCCTCCGACTGGCCTGAGACTGTTCCATTCCTCCTGTTAGACAGCAGGGACCACCTGTGGGGTCCTCTGGGTGGGTGTCACCAGTTGGTCATGTTTTCTCTGGCCATCTAGCCTCCTATCCCCAGTTTCTTTGGGTGGACAACTTACACTCTCTGTGTGAGGTGTGAAGGGGCCATTTATGTAGACCCTGGCCCCTCAGCAAGCCTGGCCAGCCAGGTTGTTTTGGGACATTGGGCTCTGAAGTGAACTTTGTTAAGAGGTTAAAACACGGTTGGAAAACACTTGATCAGTGTCACATTGGTGCGCAAGTATTATCTCCCTTTTTATAGATTGTCTTTTCACTTTGTTAATTAGTTTTTGTTGTTGCTGTTCAGAAGTTTTTTAGTTTGATGTCATCCCAACTGATTATTTCTGCTTCTGTTGCTCGTGCTTTTGGTGTCACTTATGTAAAATCACTGTAGGGACCAACATCAAAAACCTCTCCCCAAATTTTCTTCTAGGAGTTTTATGGCTTCAGGTCTTACATTTACATCTTTAATCCATTTTGAGTTAATTTACCTTAGTAGTGTAAGATGGAGTCCAATTCTATTCTTTTTCATATGACTACCTACTTTCCCTCACATCATTTATTGAAGAGGCTGTCCTATCCCCATTGAATATTCTTGCTCCTTGTCCAATATTAGTTAACTGCACATACATGAATTAATTTCTGGGCTCTCAATTCATTTGCATTTGTCTATGTGTTGTTTTAATGCTAGTACCATACGATTTTGATTACTATAACTTTGTAATGTAGTTTTAACCAGGAAATGTAATGTCTATAGCTTTGCTTGGGATTCTCAAAATCATTTTGACTATTCAAGATCTTTTGTGCCTCATAAGAATTTTAAGATCTTTTTTATTACTGTAAAATTATCCATTGGAATCATGATAGGGATTACATGTCAATGTATTTGTGAATTTCCCAGCTTTCCACTTCTTACTGTTTTCTAGTTTTATAATATCATGGTTGGAAAAGACACAGTATATTTTTTATCTTCTTCAGTGTGTTGAGACTTACTTGTTACCTAACATATAATTTATCCCAGAAAATGTTTGTGTCTCCTTGAGGAAAATGTGTATTTTGTTACTGTTGGATGAAATCTTCTGTATCTATCCCTTAGGTTCATCTGGGTTATAGTGTTGTTCATAGCGGCTGTTTTCTTATTAATTCTCAGTGATCTAGCCACTGTTGACAGTGGGGTATTAAACTTCTCCACTATTATTCATCCTTTCCTATTGTTTTTGTATAGATGTTGTTCCTGTCTTTCTTTCTTACTGTCTTCTTCTGTGATTTGCTCATTTGTGGCAGTATACTTTGTTTCACATATCATAATCTTTTGAGTGTGTACTATAGGTTTTTACTTTGTGGTTAACATGATGCTTAATAAAATATCATATATTTGTAATTTGTATTTTAAGTTGATAATTTGAATTCAATAACATAAAGAAACTTTATAGTTTTACTTCTCCCCACTCATATTAAAATTATAGAGGTCAGAATTTACATTTTTTATCCTGAAGTCAGGATATGCCAATTGACACAAGGAGGGACAGGGAAAGAGAGAAAGAGAGAGATGTGGGATAGAAACAATGATGTGAGAGAGAAAAATCAATCTGTAGCCTCTTGTATGCATCCTGACTGGAACCAAACCTGCAACATAGGCAGCTGCCCAGGCGAAGGACCAAACCTTCAACTTTTTCAGTTCATGGCATGATGTTCCAGCCAATTGAGTCACACAAATCAAGGATACATCTTTTTAATATTGTGTATCCAGTAATGAATTATTATAATTATGGATATTTTTAATGCAGTTGCTTAACTTTTAAAGTATAGTTGTAGTGGATTATGTAACACCATTACAATATCAGAGAATCTAATTTCAACTGTATATTCACAATCACAGGGAATTTTATTCACTAATAGGTTTTTATTATGTCAGTTAACATCCTTTTCTTTTAGCTTGAAGGAAGCCCCTTAACTTTTCTTATAAGACAGGTCTACTGGTGATGAATGCCTTCAGCTGCAGTTTGTTTGGGAAAGTCTATTTTTCCTCTATTTGCTAAAGACAACTTTGCTGGGTACTCTATTTAGTTGATACACTACCTTTCAGTATATTGAGTATATCATTCCTCTCTCTCCTGCCTGAAAAGTTTCTGTTGAGAAATCCACTACTGTTCTTATGCGGGTTTTTCATATGTGATAAGTCTGTTTTGTCTTGCCACTTTTACAATTCTCTCTTTATCTTTGACTTTGGACAATTCCGAAAGTCCATTTTGCTCTGTGCATGGTAAATTTTCACCATTATTGTTTTAAATAAACTTTATATTTATTTTACTCTTCTCCTTATGGGGTTCCCATAATGTTCTTATAGTTTTTTTATTAATACCTCATAAGTCCTATAGGCGTTTTTCACTGTTTTACCACTTTGGCTTATTCCTCTGACTGCATAATTTTGAATTACCTTTCTTCTAGTTCCCTGAATCTTTCTCCTGCTTGACTGAGTCTGCTGTTAAAGCTTACTATTAAGTACTTCAGTGCATTTAATGTATGCTTCAATCTAGGATTTTTGGTGGTGTTTTTGTAATTTTTTTCATTGTTATACTCGTTTTTTTTTTTTTTTTAATTTAGTTAGCTGTCTGTGGGATCTTGTACTTCACTGAACTACTTTAAGAGGATTATTCTAAATTCTTTGTCAGGCAGTTTATAGACTTCCATATTTTAGGGTAGTTATTACAGTTTATTAATTTTCTTTTGTAGTGCCATGTTTGCCCAAATATTCATGATCCTTGATTCTTGTGTTGGTATCAGTGTATATAAGTAAGCAGTCTCCTCTTCCAAAATTTACAGACTTCCTTCCTCGGGAAAATGGTTTCATTAGTCAGCCCGGTTTGAAACACAGGACAGTGAAGATGATAATATCCATAGGAAGATGAATGTTATCAGGGTCTTTGTTGGGAAGGCCATTGCCTGTGCTCTGAGGGTGATGGCTGGAAGCTGCCTGAGCTGGGTTTTGGTGGGTCTGCTGATTGGGCTCCCTGATCAAGTCAGGCTGCTAGCTGTACTCTGAGGCTACATGGGCTTAGCAAGCACCTATAGTTGAGTGATGTGTCAGGCTCTGTTTCATGGTGGTGCCTTGACTCTGAAAATGGTCAGGATTACAAGCTGGGCTTTACAATAGATCCTGTGTGGGTGGAGTTTCAGACTGTGTTCCCCAGCTTGATGGTGTCTTTGGCAGGATTTCATGTTTGGTTGAGGCAACAAGAAGAGCTTCATAGTCATAGTGGGCATTTGGAATGTGATCTGAAATCTGGTTAGGACAATGGTTGTTTCCTGAAGTTGGCCAGGTTAGAGGATGGGCTACAAAATAAGTTACCATATTGCTAGCTTTGCTCTGCTGTTGGGTGTGGTTATTGGCAAGATTCTCTAGTTGAGAGGGACCTCTAGCTGAGTCCTGCAGTTGGGTGGGAATAGAGACTATTGCACAGTTGGGCAGCATCACTCTCCTGACCCCCTCATTGGATGCTCACACAAACTATGCTCTATGATTGTGTGGGCTCATTGACTAGCTCCATGAATGGGTGAGGCAACAGTCTGTGTTAGTCAATTGGACAGGGTCATAGCCTGGGCTGTCTTGCTAGATAGAATTATAGACCTGGCTCCATATATCAGCTGAACCATAGGCTTGTTGTCAGGACTGCCAGAGATCTCTACAAAGCCTTGAAAATGGCCAGGGATAAAACTATACTCAACAGTTGAGTGGGCCTGCAAATTTGCTTCTCTGGTTGGCCAGGGTAGTAGAATGGTCTCTAGGGTTGGTATGGTGTGACTATGGACCCAATTCAGGTAAAACTGCCAACTGAGCTCTCTGGTCAGATGGCATGAGTAGCTCTGATCTTCAGAAGAGCAGACCACTAGTTGGGCTTTCTCTTTAGGGACTGCTACAAGCAGGATGCAGTCCACCCAGGCCTGAGTTCTGGGTGCTAAAGGGCTCTCCTTTGCTAACATTTCTACTAGGTATGTAGTAGCCAGAAATTACCTAGCTTTTTGCTTAAGCCAGACTGCTGAATCACATGGAGATGTAATGGGGATTACAACTCTGGCATCCTCAAATTTTTGCAGGTGGCACCAACCTATGCCATTCCCTCTTTCTCCAGGAGTATGATATTGCCTTCAACTTATTCTTTTCACCAAATAAAACTTAAGTTTCAGAGCCTTCCATCTTCCCTTCCCTAGGACAGTTGTTATTTCCTAGGTTAAGAAATGATAGGGTAAAAAACCAGGTTGGCCAACTATGTGTGTCCTTATTACACATTTAAAATCTTGGGAGATGACTACTGGGTGGTTCCATGGATTGAGTGGACTCACTGTTTGATGGACATTACCTTATTTTTATAAATGTCCTCTAACAGGGGCTATTATGATGTTTTGGGTTTCTATATACCAACTGAGATGTTGTATGAAAAACTCTTAATATTTCTGTGCATATTCTTTGTCATGCATTTGGTTATTTAAATAATTGGCCATGGGTCTCCTTGGTGGAGAACTCAGGGAATTATTACTGGCTACAATCTGCACACTCCTTTCTTATAAGAACTGCCCTCATTTCCATCCACAGATTATGGGGCAAGTATTGGCTGAGGTCTGGAAAGGGGGCTAGGAATGCTAACTTTTCATTGAGGTAGCACTTCAGCCATCTAATCATTTACTTTTAGTCTCTTTTGATGATTTATATGAAGCAATGTTCTGTTGGATGCTACTCTTGCCTGTAAGAACACTATCTTCTATTAGCTATTTCCTTAGACATCTATGGGCTTGGATCCCTTGCTGTCATTCTAAACTTGCTGCTCATTACAGAGATTATTTATCTTTCTCTGAAAGTTAAATGCTGCCACGTACTTTCATTTATTCTAGAATCTTATCATTTTCCTTTGCTACTAGGGAATCCAACTCTACATCATTCTTACACTATTCCAAACTACAGAGGACAGTCCCACCTGAGCATTGCAAGGATGCAGGTGCCCTCTCAACAGTGCATTTCTTACACCTATTAAGGTGGGGTCTGTGAGGCCTCCTGAGGGCACAGTTATCTGATGGATGGGTTCTCCAGCTGTAGAATTAGAGCCGTGTCATCTTCCTAAGGCTTTATTACCCTATATTTTTGTCATCTCTGTCAGGTCTGGCATTTGTTCCTTCCACTTTACCTAGTGTGCACTGTGCTTTGCAGCAAGCCCCTAAGAACTACCCAGGAACATATTAGAATCGTAGACTTTGGACCTTTTCAAGCTCATTAAACTCTGTGGCCAGTAGAGTGTATCTGTATCAGTAGCTCCCCTCCCAACTAGTGTTACATTCTAAGATTGTTTTTCTGGGATCCACTCCCACACACAATCTCTTAGCACCTGTTGGTACATGTGGACACTTCTGCAGCTGTACTGGAGTAAACCATGTTGGCAACGAGCAGGCTCATCTAGCATATTCCTAGTTTGATTATAATGAGAGAACGCTGCTTATTCTTAGTTTGGACAAGATGGGGGTAGGAATGGGGTCTGCCTACCAACAGAGACTGGAGATCCATTTGCAGGCCTGTGGGCTCAGAAGGAACTAGAGTTCAGAGTTCTCAGGTGCATCTACCTGGAAAGCCCCATTCTGAGTTTCAGGGCTTAACGCTTCCTTTATCAAGGTCTTGACTTTGACTCAACAGTCTTCTCTGAAGTTCTGTCATTCTTAAAATTAGGGACTGTGGCAGGCCTTCCTTACTGTCTGCCTTCCAGCTGTAGGTGATAAATAATATATTTAAGCAGGCCATATACTCTTTTTAATACATTAGTGAACTTAAAAATAGCCACCAAACTATACAGTTCTTATTATTGCTATTTCTTCCTTTGTGAATGCTAGACAATTGTAACAGGTAGTGTACCTGTTCCCTGTATCTCATTAAGGCAAATATTTTTGCAACTGCACTGCTCGAGCACTCCAGGTACTATCAATATTCTGCCTTTAATCATCTGGCTAGACAGTGATCCAGCTCAGAACTCCATGCCTAGGGCTGGCTTGCTAAAACCATTATGTTAAGGTGGGTTCCCTAAAAGCAAAGCCTGAAATAAACTCTCTTGAATATGTGATTTATTGTAAGAATTCTCTCAGAAGGAGGAGGGTAAGGGAAGCAAGATACCATGGAGGGGAAAGCTAAGTAAGGATGTGCTCACAGCTGGACAATAGCTCTAGCCTGAGTCCCTGTGGGGGCAGCGACACAATCACTGAACATAGTTGGATCAACCTTGGGGATGGGAATCAATCCCCAGGCCAAAGACATGTAACTTTCAGGTGATTATGGATTTATTTGCCCAAAGAAATACCCTGGGAATAGGTGGCATCGAAGCCAACCTGCATAGCAGCAGGGGGATAAGAAATCTGCCTGACATGAAAGACAAATACCATATGAACTCACCTTTCACCAGAACCTAATCAACAAAATGAACAAGCAAGTAAAATATAACCCAAGACACTGAAATTGAAAGCAGGCTGCAGTGACCAGAGGGGAGAGGGGAGGCAATAATGGAGGAAAGGGGTGAAGGGTTTACAGGAAGGACTCTTAAGGACACATGGACAATAACAAGGCGGGGTGGACAAGGGGGAAGGAAGTGGGGGGGGGGCTAGGGTGGTGGGAAGGGTTGGGGAGGAAGAAAACTGTAGTTGAATAACAATTAAAAAATAAGAAATCTGCCTGAAACCAGGACTTTTAAGAGCATGAACAGTATCAACTACATCAGTGCAGTTCTAATTTGTTTCCTGAATAGCAAATTGTTCTTTGAAATTCTTCTTAAAATCATCCTGAGTTAATTCTGCGTCACTGCACTGGAAAAAAAAACAAAGATAATAACACTCATTACCAGTATCCTTAGATACCTTGCAACTGACAATGATCAGGACTCTTAACCAGGTTAAGTCTAAAAACATGTGCAGCTGAGAGTAACTTGTTTCCTAAGAGCGTGATTACTTTTTGATGACTAGACAGAAATGGGAAATCATTGCTACTCTTGAGGGCTCTTACTCCTTAGGTTTGGGTTGTCTCTTTCAGTGAGAATTAGAAAAGTAACTTAAGATTTTAGAAGCAATCAAATATCACAGTTGTCTAAGTACAACCAGTAACATTCCTTTCACCTTGTCACGTCTATGCCCCTCTTGTGTCCCCTGTTAAGTACATAGTCCACTCACATGCAAAGGATTCTGCAGTTTGGGATCTCCGTGAGTTCTGATTGAGTATATTTGGGGAGAGGCAAGAACAGCAACATGACTTTAGGACAAAATCTTCTCATCAGGTTTGGAGCAGGGAAGAAGTGACTATTCTCTGTGGGCACCTGACACCTTTTCAGAGAGATGGGCCCTCAGGGGATGGGGTTCTGGCAGCAGGGAAACCTTCTGACTCACTGTTACTCTCCCTTGTGAGCTTAAATCCTAAATTTAAAAACTTATTTCCTGAACCCTTGTTTATACTGCCCTTCATGAGAGAAACTCTAAAATTTCCCAGCACCAGGAAATGAAGGCAGAGTGACTTAATTGGAAGGAAAATGAAGTAGAAGCAGGGGAGCCACTTACACTGGGGATAGTAAAGAATTCGTCCATGGCCCGCACAAAACTTTCCACAGAGTGGTAGTTTTCCTTGAGTAGACTCTCCTTGATTTTGTCCAACTTTCTAAGTTTCTCTAGGCATTGAGAAGCCTCTTTAGCCTGGTGAGAAATATATCAATAAGAGAGTTACTGTCAAAGTGCAATGGCTGCCTTCTGTGGATTCCCATCAAATCCAGCAGAAATCCAAGGTGAAGATAAAAGCAGCTCGTGCTCTCCCTCCCCAGGGCTTCAGATCACCAATCCCACAAGTGCCCGTGTCAATCAAGGTCAGGTAACATCACACATTGATGGTTTGTTATCGTTACTCACATAATTTTCATGTGGAATATTTGGGAAAACTTTGCCCTCTAAAGAGGCATAGACAATTAAGAGGAGGAATGCACATTTCTGCAAGAGAAAGAGGCAGTGAATTAAAAACAACTTGGAGAGAAAGAGCCCATAGGCATGCCCAGACACACACATGCCTACACCTGTCTTCTGGATGTTTCTCCAAACTGGTATTGCTCTTGGACACTAACAGGTAACAGGTAAGTATTTTCCTGCAAACAAGTCTGGTGAGTTTGCAGAGTGGTTGGGAGACATCAGGAAACCAGGCACCGTTTGGCATCCACCCCCTCATCCTGTGACTGATTGACTTCTTACACATGAGGAGAAAGGAGAATGCTTAGGGTTCGAGTCCAACTTACCAACAGCTCTTCAGGCTCCATAAGCTTCACCAGGACCTCAGATTCCCTGTAATGTTGGTGACTTGGAGGATTTCTTGTTAAGCAGAATGTACACTTCCAACCACTCCTGAGATGTCAAATATAAATGAGCAAGGAAAAGACCAGAGACAGCCACTGTCACTATGGCTACCACTGTTCTCCTTTCATGAATGATCAGGAGGCAGACCAGGAGATAAAGGGGAAACCTCCCAGGGTATCCACAATCTTTATGTGATGACCCTCCTCCCATAGAGAGTAGCCATAGGGGGTGAGTGGGTGGAGGGCTATGTCAGAGTGAGTGGTGGTCTCTCCTTTCCCCATCTGAGCTGCTGTGAGAACCAGGAGCCCTACCCACCAGGCCAGAGTGTTTGAGACTGTGCCCTAACTCCTGGAGGCCTGAGGTCTCCATTAGCCTTTTGAGAACATGGCAAAATGAGGAAACCAGACCATGTATCCTTCCTTTTCTAAATAAACACAAAACACAAAGACCTGGCATTTCCACTTCTATAAACAGGAGTCTGTGCTGGGAAAGTTCTGGAAAGGACAGTAACATTATGAAGACAAAGAACCCAGCCATTGGCCTCAGCCTCCCAGAGGAGAAAGAACATTTCCCTCCTGCTGCCAGCATCTTTCAACAGCTCCCAGGATCATACTGCTGACCCCTGTACCTCCAGCCCCACTCTGTCCTGGTCACAACACAAGGAACAATCCTGCAGGGGAGTGAGAATTGCAGGAAGAAGGGTCTATAAAATGAGAGAGGGGGTCTGCATCTCACAAACCTTGCAATCTCCACAGGTGGGATGTGACAGCCCTCATGAAAGACTTTGTGACAAGTAGCACAGCCAAAGAGCTTTCCTCCATCCTGGCAGATTACACATTTGTCTGAGTTTTCCACCTACAAGATAAAACAATGACCACATCCCCATTAGCTTCTGACAACCAGCACTGTGGGAATCTAGGACTCATGGCCTTTGTGTGAGCCTTCAGGGACTCCTCTGTGTTTCACTGAGGTGTGGAGGGAGAGCATGGAATGGGGGGTTCAGAAGAAGGATTCTTGATCTGCCATGAACTTCAAGAGGGGCCTTTGTGACCAGACTGGAGAAGTTTTTTCCTGTTAAACCAGAGACCCTAATACAGAACCACAGGCAATGAAACAAGAGGATGATTTCATAGAAATCTGAAACATCTTATTAACTTGCAGATAGAACAAGGTTCTGAAATAAAGTGTTAAATCCATTCACTTACACCACAGTGACTAACATTACTGTTAGAAATGTGGTATGTTGAGAAACTAATAAGATGGAATAAACTTTTGAGAAATCACTGCATCCTATGTTCTTGGCTGTAGGCTTCCCATCAGTTGAATGGCCTGTTAGGGCTTCCTGGACTGTAGATCCAGTATCCAGAGGGACCAGGGCCTGTGACACTGCCTTAGGGTTGGAAAGACCATGACACAGATGGCCAGGTAGTGCCTGGAAGGATAGAGGTCTTTGACTCTGGAAGTCTGAGGAAGATGCCCCGTGACTCAGCTTGGCATGTATGGTTTGGAGGCTCCATCTCTGCATGGCCAGGGAGTAGCAATTGCTTTGCTGTATGAACAGTGTGGAGGTCCCCTTCCCCCACCAATGCACTCAACTGAAACTGTACTACTACCTGTCTCAATATGTGACCTTAAACTACATTTAATTTTATTTGCAGAAGATAAAATTTGACAGTATTTGCATCCAAGTCTTATAGCACAACTCCTACTCATTAAACCCAAATAAATGTATAGAGCAGATATGAAGATACACTGTGTTATATACAAACACGTGTATTTATAACAAAAAACTAGCCTGTGACTGAGCCCTTTGTTAATGAAGGAAATCAGTGTAAGGACTAATATTAAAGCTCAGTGTGCCATGACATCTGGTAACATTGAAATGGTCTTAGAGGGCCTGTCTGCATGTGCCTCTACCCACCCTCCTCCCCTGGACAAGGTCCCACAGCTAAATAATGCTCCTTGTCAAGGGACTACCACTGACCTGCCCATCTTGGAATATCAGGTTTCAGTTCTCTGTCAGCTGTGGAGTTTTTCACACAGACCAGCCACAGCCTCCTATGGAAAAACAGGATCCCCCTCACCCTCCCAGCCCCTGGTTGTCTACTCAGTTACCTAGGGCAACCTCAGTGAGGACTGTGGGTCTGCCTCTGCCCTTCTTCCTCAGTCTGGGAGTAGATGTGACTAGTATCACCTGTCAATCCATCTGTGCAATGATAGATGCCATTCCTTCCCAACCCTCAGATGTCTGGTAGACATCCCACCCTCATCAATAGGGTGAACAGGAGGGGATTACAACAAAACAAAAGCCACTTTCTGTATGTTTTTAAAATGAAAGTCAGTATTTACATATGAATGAGGAACAATCAGGAACTATATCAGCCCCTTTTGCTTTCCTGGTTCTGCCTTCTGAGAAAAGCCAGGCAGTTTGAGAACCACTTGAGAGTTGTTCTGTCCCAGATAGAAACATCCTGTCTATCCCATGGTCTATTGGAGAAATTCCTCCCCTCCTGCAACCATCTGAGGTGACACAAATGAGATTGGCTTGGGGACTGGCCCCTCCATTGATGAGTGCTGAGTGGGAGGGAAGTGGGCTGTTGAGGAGCAAGAGGAGGCAGAAATGACAGCGTCCACCTTTCTCTACTGTGACCCCTTCTGCTTTCTCCAAAAACGTGTGGTCTGTGCCATCTGTCCTGGAATTATGCCCTCAGCTGCACAACTGTGTCATTTTCCCTTCCTGTACTTTTCATCTTCCAACATTTAGACAGAATCCCTCAAGTTTCCGCCTTTGACCATTAAACAGGTCCCACATAGTCAAATTGCTCTCAAAGCTACAGTTCCATTGCTATGTCCCCAGCTCCCAGTTGTCTAGCCTGTCTCCTGCCTTCATGCACATCCCTGTTCTCACCCAGTGTCTCCTCCTGGGCCCTTGAATCATACCCCCAAACTCATGCATTCAAAACTTAATCTGTTCTCCTATCCCCACACCCACTACATGTTCTTTCTTGATGCTTCCATTTCATAAAACTATACCTTCCACAGCAAACCTGAGAATCCAGCCTGGATCTATACACTTTTTCTTACTGCAAATTAAAACTATCCCCACTCCTTCTCACAGTAATTTTTCAGCTTCCAGTGTTGGTTCCATTGTCTCTGTAGGGTCCATGGCAAACAGGGATGCTGAGACCCTAATGAACTGAGCCACCCTGATAAGTAAAGAAAAGTGGTCTGTTTTTCAAAGTCTGTGTTATATTTCAGTTAACAATACACAAAGAACAGAAAGGTCTTTCTTGAAGCCAGTGGGCAGAGTAAGAGTAATTTGGTACACAGCTATGCTGTTTCTCTTAATGTAGGAAGTAATAAAGATAAAAAGCCACTAAGATTTATTTGGAATCTTATTCAGGAATTTTGGGTAAATAGTCTTAACTTGGGGGAATCAAGATTCTGGTGATTTCTTTTAATTTAAAAAAATCCATATATGAGAAAGTGCAAGTACAAAGAATGTTGGGCACCACCCTGCCTGGTTTCAGAAGCTGTAACCCCCGCACCCCCACACCCCATGCCCATGGCTAAGGCTAAGTGAGGGACTTTGGGCCACAAGCCACTAAGGAGACAAAGCTTATCTCCCTGGCAGGAGCTCTGCTTCTGCTCCTTTTTCTTTACCCTGCCTGGCCCCTAGTGCTTGATTGGTTAGCCAATTATGGGTAAGATTACCCAAGAGAGGAATGACCTAAAACAGGCACAATTATGGGGAAGGCCCAGGGAAGGACTTGGGGGCTATAGCAAAAAGGGGTGATGGACCCTTGCCCCACATCTTTGACATAGCCTGAGTCGTCATTCTGTATGTGAGAAATCTCCTAATCTCTGGGCTGCCTTACTTCCCTTGCCTGACTTAACCCTGAAACAATGACTGAGGATGGTGCAGCCCTGCGCTGGAAAGGACAGGTTCCCCAGGCCTAAGAAAGAATGTATAAAATCTTATGATACCCGCTTTGCTAAGAATGCTCTCAATTAAATGTTAAGGGTCCAAGCAAGAAATGTGTTTGTTTCCCAAAGTTTTGTAGCCCTTTAGCTAACAGACCCTGACTTAGAATGAGCCATCATTGTTCTTTGTATTCTACTTATTGTTTAATCCTTACTGCCTGACAATGATTAAAAAACTTTACCTACCATATTTCTGTGCACACTGAGTCCAATAAAAACTTGTCAAAGCGAGGGTTGGCACACTTTTCTCTGGAAAGAGTAGCTGAGCCATCCCTTTCCCGCCACAGGACTCAGTAGTCTGTGTGAATTTGTCTCATATCTCATCCATAAGGCCAGGGACCCTTCGGGTTGGTCCACGTGTCACCAAAAGAGATCTTGTCAAGAGCTGCCATTCAGTGTTCTGGGAGAATCCTGAATCACATGTGCAGTGGGTGCTGAGACTGCTCCAGAATGGAAGCCTGGGCATAGTTGTTCCCTTCTCCTCACTGTAGGTTCTCACAGTCCCTCTCACTCTACAGAAAGTGGTGGCCCTCTTCCCAGAAGGACAAGGAAATAACAAACATAACAGGTGCATAAAAATCTTGCATCTCCAATCTTTTAATCAAGACCAGACTCTTATCCCTTTGGCTCTTTGTTTTCTAGCCCATCTGCACATTTGAATTGTCAGAGGAGAGCATATAAAGTAATGTCCTGGTTACAGTGTCTGAGATTCTGATCAATTGATTAGGGTAGACCTTAGGTATTGGCATTCTCCTTGAATCATAAAATGAGTAGCTTATGTATGAAAATCATCTGGAAACAGTTTAACAATTCTAATGTTCAAGTCATAATTCAGAATGGTTAAACCAACATTTTGTCTAGAGTTGGATTCAGGCAATGTCATTTTCCAAATGTCTTCAGGTGATTGCAGTACAGTCTAAGTTGAGATTAGGACTGAGCCAGTGTGGTTACTAATGCATGACGATCTTATAAGTCATTGTTGAATTGGCCTGTAATATCTATCCTAGGAAACATTATTATTAACAGGAGTGAGGGTACTCTTTTTGGAGCAGTTGCTTTTTCCTAACCACAGACTGTTGATTACTGGCAGTATGACAGGATCCTCTGGGTCACCATCTCTTATTCAGGGTCCTGGAAACCATGCACATGTCCCAGAGAAGAATCCACCACCACCCACAGCTCTTTTAAGCCACCACCCAAATGATAAAATGAAAGTAAGGTCCTCCATACTACAATTCTTCTTCCAGAGGGTCACACCCCTCTCCATCCATCCAAATCCCAAGATGACTTCTCGCTGACTTTTCACAGGAAACTGACCTCTGCACACTACACTTGCAGTGCTTTTGTACCATCAGTAGAATGACTTTGCCTCCTTCCCTTCAGGCAGCCTCAGCTTTTATCTCACCCAGGACAGAGAGGACATAGACTAATGTGCCCCACCGGAAACTGACCTGAGAAATGGTCATGTCACAGCCTGTCTCTTTGGTAATCTAGAGTCCCTGCTCCCCAGTAGTTATTGTTACATAATAGGTAATTGAAGTTGAAACAATCCTGGAGCTCAGGGAATTATTTCAATCTTCTTCATGGACATCGGGCATTTCTATGCACTCAGCAACTATGCTAAATGAATAAATAAATGGGTATTGTTTCACTTAGGAAAAGAGAACGTTTGTTATCTTTTTAGTAAACATTAGCATATAATAAATGGTTGTTCTGTCTGAGTATTTGAGATTACATGACGATACACAGCAGCTGTCACCAGAAAGTTTAAGTAGCCCTCACCTGATGACAAGAAGCTGTCATGTGGTGCCAAAATTGACAATGAAGTCTCCAGGAACCAGGGGCTCCATCATCAAGAGAAAATATGGGGAATACAGAGGACCCACCCATGTAGTAATGTATCCTGAGATCTGCCAGTGTGAGTCACTTTGGTTCTTGATCAAAAGACAGACGGTATATGAAAAAATTAAACCTGGTGCTACAAAGTGTTGCACCCAGTCATAAAGACAGAACCTGTGTGTTGAAAGTTGCTATTTCCTTCAGGTAATTCAGATAAAGGAACTCTATATCCATGGAGAATGATAGAGACTTTAAATTAGTCACTGACTACATACAACAGTAATTTTTCTTTACTAAACCCAGTGGATGAAATGTCCCAAGGGCTGGATGTTCAAAAGACCCAGAACATCAGATAATGTAAAGTCCTGATCCTCACTTTCCCAGTATTAGATGAAGTCCCAGTGGCCAGCTCTGTATAAGCTAATGTAGAATTCTGCGAATGTACTGGTGGCCATTTCTACCTAAAGAGTACAAGAAGGCACCCTGTACCTTCCCCTTCTTGTGAAGTTCTCATTAATGCCAGATGTTGTGAAAATTACCACTTTGTCCTCAATCTACAGTGCATATTACATATTTTTTGTTGCCTCCATGGTCTTCTTCCACGGAGAGACAAACCACCTTGACAGATAGAAAGGAAGCTCAGCCCCTAAGGTAGAGCCAAAGGTGGCATCAGAATAACAATTTCCAGGTCAGCCCTTCACACAGGCTACATCCACTTCCCAAGAATTCCCTTCCCAACAGCAACATCTTCATGAAAGATTTGCCAGTGATTTCTGCTTGAGAAAGAATTCTCTATGTATTTGTTCATTTTATTGGAGGATGAAAGAATATATAAGTAATCAGAGAAGAAATATGCTCTTAGTTTCCTATCTCATAAAGTAGTATATGGTTTTATATTTGTCCCAAGATAGATGATCTACTAGACGGGTTCATCTGGATGATGGGGAGCAAACTTTTTCTTCATTAGATTTCATTAAAGTTAGGAAATAGTAACTTTTATCTAAAAGTCTAGGATGGACTTGAAGATGACCCTATGACCTTGTTAAGAAAGGATTTTATGTATTCCATAATCATGTTTGCTTTGACAACTTTGACAACTTTCAACATTTACATGTACAGCTAAAACTCAGCTATATGAGATCTATTTTGATGGCTCCTTATCATCCCCATCTGAAATGGTTTACAATCCAAGATAACCTTGCATACAACCTAATGTTCAATGGAGCAACTCTGAAGGCATGCAAAATACATGCAAACATACCTATGTATGTACATACATAAACAAATAAAGGCATAAGAGAGAAGAAAAAGAAACAATGTTAACTATGCAACTGAGAAACCATAAAAATGATGCAGAACTTAGTTATGTAATGAGAACTTATATAAAGCAACACTTACCTTTTTTGTAGTGGGAGGTGGATGGATATATTTAAGCTGAAAGATAAAAAGATCCAAGTTGATGCTTAGTCTGTGTTTAAGTTTTGTGAGTCTGGCATTCCAACCTCCTTATAAACATTTGTACACAAATGTCCAACTGTCATCTCAAAGCCCAGCTCTCTAACTGAGGAACCAACTCCCTCTCCTCACCCGTTTTTCTAGATCCACCCACAGAACCCAGAAACACATCTTTAGAATACTTTTCCTGCTCATGTGCTTTTTCACAACTTTTCAGAGGTTTTCCTTCACAATCTCCTTGGCACCTCTCACCCCCTCTGCATTCCCACCAGTGCCACTGAGACCTGCCTCCTCACACCTGTGCTATATAACTGACATGCACAGGTCCCACACCTACAGGGTGTCCCTCCCTCTGGACAATGTTGGGCACATAAAGGACAAACCCTAGGGGGGTCTATAGAGACAAAGGGAATGCATGAAAGGATAAGAATAAGACAGTGTGAGAAGGGCCTTACTCCAGAGTTTAGGGAACCCAGGAAAAAGGTGACCAGGGCAGGTCAGTCAGGGAACATTCAGACAGGAGTGACATGGGAGTTAAGCCTTGCAGGATGACTATACATTTCTTGGGCTGAAAGACACTGAAGTCAGTTCAAGTCCCCACGTTGTCTGAAATACTGTTTTAAATATGTCATATCAAACCTCAGGAGAATCCCTGGTCTGCAGTGTCTGTGTTTTGAGTTTCAACTTAACATTAAATCTCTCTGCCAACAATACCAATTGATGGATTATGCTGTATCTCACATAATCTGTCTATCTCAACTCAGATCATGTCATTTGTGGTTCTGCTGTTTACACCACTCTTTCTCTGGAGTGTGTTCTGCCCACTTATTTGACTGTAGACTCTTCTTTCTTTCAGTGCCTAAAGTTGTCTGCAAGCACCTGGGTCAGAATGGCCTTTCCCTGTTCCAAGCCCCTTCATATATACCAACAGAGCCCCTTTGACAGATGGGTGGGTTCCCTTGTACTGAATGTGGGGCACCTCTTCCTCTGAAAAGGATAAAGTCTGGGGCCTCAAGGCTCAAGCCACAACTCAGCACATATTGGGTGAGCAAATAATGACCTCATCTTTGACCACAATAAAGAAAGTCACACCTGCCCCTATCACTGAAATACCTCTATCAGAAGTTTTAGGGTTTTTCCACCACAGGTCAGGCTGTTCCTCCAGTTATTTGCTTTTTCATAGCCTGCTCTGACTTCAAATTCCCTGGGAGTGAACCAGTTTCCATCTTCAGTTCTTATGCACTTCCTTGTGGCTCCTGTAAGATGAGGTGCGTTAATCCTGACACCTCTTTGTCCTCAGAACTCAGAGGTTGGCTTCCCACCACTTTGGATCTGACATCACCCATTTGGGTTCAAGATCAGTAGCAGGAGCTTCTGAATTCCCCTTTCATGTTTCAGGACCCCTTAACCCAGCTTGTAAATTCCCTCCAAGAAGATTTGCTGCTTTAAGTTAAAATCTCAGTAGAGGCCCTGCAGCTCACAATGGCACTAACGCAACATTCATGTCCTGTGTTACAACAATTTCTTTGACTTTCCCATCACTATTGAGCAGATATTTTTCTATCCTTGAAATCATGGGTAGCTGATACTAAAATAATTGTGAAATATTAATCAGTAGAATATCTAACTGATATGTAAGAGACACTGATATATAAAAGACACTTAACAACATTATCATTAGATAACAGGAAATTAAACCACAATTAAATTCTACAGTCTAAGCACTAGGGTGGCCACTACAAAAAGACTGACAATAACAAGTGTTGGTGAGAATGCAGAGAAATTGGATCCCTCAGGTTTTGCTGGTGAGAACTGAACTCATGCAATACTTTGAAAAACAGTTTGTTTTTCTCTCAATAAGATACACATAGAAGTACCATATAATTCTACAATTCCACTCCAGGGTATATACTAAAAAGAATTTGAAAAATATCTTCACAAAAACCTTTGCATGAAATGGTATTATTCATGATAGGTAAAGAATGAGAAAACCCTAACTGAAGGATAAATGCAATATTGTATATTCATAATAGGCTCACATATAAAATAAAAAGAATGAAATATGATGCATGGCACTGTATGTATGAACCTTGAGAACTTCATGCTAAGTGAAGGAACCAGTGACAGAAAGGCAGATGTTATGTGAGTCAATTGAGATAAAATGCATAAATAGGCTGATTTATACATCAGAACATAGATTAATCGTTGCTTAGTGTGGGCGATGAGCTGGGGTGGGAATGGGCACTGGCAGCTGAGAGGCATTGGGTTTCCTTTAGTGGGGACAAAATGTTCTAAAATTAGAATGTGATGATGGGTTTATAATCTTGTGAATGGCCAAAATAAAAAAAAAACATAACAGTGAATTCTACACTCTTAATGGTGATTTATACATATGTGAGTTGTATCTCAGGGAAGTTGTTTAAAAATAGTTATGATACAAACATTTATTTATATTAGTGTTCTCATAATCATATTAAAAATAATCTCATAGAAGTTCATCATATATACAATAAGTGAAAAGTTTTATAGTGTTAAAATCACAAAACACTTTATATTCATATGCAAACAAAATCTCAAAGTCACAGCAGGAGGCAGGTTTGTAACTATTACCCATGTCTTAGATGGGAAGTTTCAGGCTCAGGAAGGTCCCAGTCTTCACATTGTCACTCTCAGCAGAGCTGAGGCTGGGATCAGACAGAGCTGAGGCAGACAGAGCTGAGGCTGGGATCAGGTTTTCTAAACACTGTGGTCTCCTCACTGCATCTAACATCCTGTCCTAGTGGTGATTACCCAGATGGGTACAGGATGTGAACGTGGAGACTGAGGGCCTCTTCCCTGTTATATCTGATTCAACGTAAAATGTGCAACATTTCCACCCAGAGACTGACATTGCTGCACTTGTTTTTGGGCATCCTCAGAGGCACGTCCACATGGGGGTGAACATTTAATATGCACCACTGCTTACAGTGCAAAAACATCATCTTAGGGATCCCTTCCTAATTCTTTCGAGCCACAGTGGAGCTTCAATTCCTTGAATGACAGGAAATTCACATGGGTAATTCCATTACTTCATGTGATTCCTTCACAGAGGGGTTGCAAATTAAAGTAAACCTTGAAACCTACCTCGTTCCAGTTTCCTCTTAATTAACAGCCCCGTCTTCTTTTTACAAGTCACAGGGAGTATTTCAGCTTCAAAATTTACAGGCACATCTGGCTGCTGTCCTGTTTCTGAAAGAGAAGATACTTAATTCTGTCTCCTTTAACAACTGCACATGGAAAACTTCCTGTCATGTAATTGTTGTTTCTATAAAGTCATAGAGATACTTGGGGAACTTTATTCCACAAATCTGCAGTTTCAGCCTTTCTTTCAGTGACATTTCTTTCACGGACATTATGGTTTCAGATACACAACCACAGAATGTCTACCTTGATTTCACCTCTCAAACCCCCACAATCAGAATGTTTTAGCAGAGATACCAGGAGTCAGTACAACTGTCTTTGCTCCCCATGCAGTCAGCCCCCGATACTTATGTGACAGTGACACATGAAGCTGCTGTCCTGGCAGAAGGAGCTCTGCAGCTGGGCTATTTCCCTGCAGGTAGGTTGCTGGAAGCAAAGTCAGGGGCTGTATATGCCTTTTTCTATTTGAGCTCTGACTCAGGAGCAGAGAGGATAATGATGGGGTGACCTACTGGAGATTGTGTCATTTCTGTTTGTGTTCACTATTTTGCATCATTTCTCCCCCACATCAGCCTTCTCCAAAGCTAAAAGAGGAGCCCAGGAAATTCTAGACAATCTGCAAATTGCATGGCTGGCTGGACCATTTGCAGTCTGACAATGGTGTGCCCTTTATCAGAAGCCACACCCAATTCTCTGATCATCTAACTTTGTGACCTTGTCTCCTCCTGTCCACACCCTTCTCTGTTAGGGCTCTTTGGGCACTGAAGGCAGCTGTCCCCAAGGAAGGCAGAAATGGGGGACCAGCCCCTGCCTGCATTGTGACCAAGTCAAAGGTGGTGGGGGATCATTGTTCTTATAAAGACCAACTCTGACAATTCTGGATTCTGTTCTGACCCTTGCTGGGAATGATGCCTCATACTTTGCCCAACCAGCCTAGAGGGTGCAGTTTTCAGAGTACCCAGGTGATTCAGATTTAATTTTGATTTTATTTTGTTGGAAATGCTTTTACCAGGATTGTATATGATTCTTGTTGAAGAAAAGTCTGAGTGATAATAGAAGATTATTAGCAAGAAAGAGGAAAGCGCAGCCATTAAAATAGTACACACAGGTTTCATAACAGTGAAGGAAGAGCAAAGATCCAGGCACCTGAGAAGGAAACACCTAGGAGCTATGGGAGGTGGAGAGGTATTAATGATATCTGTCTTCCAGAGCTGCCCTGAGTCTTCTTTCTAAAGGAACCCACCTTGTCCAGGTCTTCTACCACTTGGATGCTGAGTCTGCCACTCAACATCAAATACAAAGAATCAGGGGCTGGTGCCAGTATCTGCACAACCCATGCAGAACATTGTCTCTGGACAATGTTCACACACTGATTCTCAGTCATTCAATGGTGAGGTGTGGTGGTGACAAATGCCATCTGAACATCATGGCCAAAGAGGTCAGAATGAAGAGACTGTCCTGTCCCCACTTTTTTCCAAACCCCATCAGCGATGAACAGAACTGAGAACTGTAAGGTGGGCCCTAGGCTGCTATATTCCTCTTAGGAACCTCAACAACTGTAAATGCCTCTTTTTCAGGGCCACCATGGGTGTCCTTGGGATTGTACCTCTTGTGTGAAAACCAGGCCTTCATTTTCCTCTCATGTGCACACAATGACTTGCACTGTAAGGGAGAATTATGGGAGGGTTAAAATAATTACAGTTTAGGAAACTTGTTAAATACTGAAGGAGACCAATTGAATAAATTTGGTCCTAGCTTCCAGCAGTCCCAGTAATCATCATGGCTGGTGGAGTGGTGTCTTCATGGGGAGACTGCCAGGATCTGCTGTGCCTGGTCAGTTGGTTGGGAGGCAATTCTCCATGGCTTGCCACGTGCCCCAGAGTATCTTTTCAAGGATGTGTGAATAGCAAACAGTTCTGGAAGCCAGAGCTAATGTAGCCCTCCATGTCAGAAGGCAAATTTGTTTCCTGATCTTTATAAAACAGAGAATATCTCCCTCCTTTGAAATATCCCAGGATAATAAAGTTTCTCTCCTCTCCTCAGAGGAGGTTTCTTTAGGTTCCAGGTTGATGGTCACATTCTGTCTCTTGATAAAGATTTGCATTTTACAGGTAAGTAACTTAAACAGAATTGATAAAATGATGTACTTAATACTTGCACATCTCATTATAAATTTTATCAGAAGAAAAGAAAATTCAAATATTGAAGTCTAGTTAATATAATATACATGCTAAAGTGTTTGGAAGGAAGTGTACTGTTGTTTGCTACTAATAAATTTTTCAATTTTGAGAATGGTTTTTTAATAAATAGAGAAATGGATAAATGGACAGAAATGTGATAGAACAAGAACAGTACATGTTAATTGTGAATCTATGTTTATTGTTAATTTCCCTAACTTTTTGGAAATTTTAAACTTTTCATAATTCAATAGTTGGATAGAGAGGTTTTGGCAAGGAAAAAAGCTTATTAACCAAAAAGTGACAGTTAAAATACAAAAGAATATTTGCCAGCTACACAATAGATTTTAGAAGATAATGCAGTAATCATATCAGTATATTAAGGAGACAGAAATGTTCAGCTAGAATCTTTAATCTTGATAAAAAATTATTTCAAAATAAAGGTCAATTTGCACCTACCACCCTCGGCAGTGTTACCACCGAGACACCCTGACCAAAAGAATGAACAATTTTTTCAGGTAGAAAAGGTGACACTGAACAAAGAAACAATGATGAGTACACAAAATGATGAAAGATTCATGGAAGTAAATAGTGACTACAAAATGATAATAGTTTCAAAATTTATAATTAAAAAGATGAGTAACCAAATGTAAAACTACAGTAGCTTAATGATAAAGACGGGATGTTTGATTAGAAGAAATCCGTGCTAACTCCTTGACATCTTTTGAGATTAAGGCATGTTTAAAAAGATTACAGAAATTTTTCTCCAATTTCCACACCAAAAGAGAAAAAAATGGAATGTAGAATTTTATCTTAATCAACAGATAACATACAAGAGACACAAAAATACACAAAAGGTGTGATTAACAAGAATATAGATATATTAGTCCACATACGTCAGGGATCATAATTAAAGCAACAAATAAAAAATATCTATTAAAAGATTAGAATTATCAGAGAATATTATAAAAATCTGTTTCATTACCAGAGGCATAAAACAAAGTTGCATAACAAGGTTTAATGAAGAGGTAGAAGAATAGAAAACATAAGTTAATGTAACAAAGTTAGCCATCTGAAAAAAGAAATTTGAAGGCAAAAAGCAAATGAAGAAGAGCACTCTGTAACTATAAAAGAAGACATCTAGTAAGTGATTATAACCATAAATAGTGTCAAAGTATTTAAAGTAAAACAACAGTACAAGAAAGAATTGGCAAATATTCAATCATTTGGAAAATTTAACATATCACTATATACAAGCCTGATGGACCAAGGACGACTTATTATGGTGGATCCCATAGATTTAAACAGTGGGTTTTAGAAAAAATATGTATACAGGGAGATGTCACTGCCAACATATAGTTCAAATGTATATTATTTTAAAGGGACTTAAAACATTTATAAATATCAATCACACATTAGGTTCCAAAAGAACTCTCAACAAATTTTAAAGAGTTAATGAAGTCAGCTCTTCATATGGTATTCCAGATACCTACTTTTAATTCTTAATTTACTAATATCAACATTGCTGGAGATGTCATAGTCCAGATAAAATACCACAGTTCATAACTTCCCTAATAGCTGGCAGGACCACCAGTTTAAGATTTGATGAATAAGAATCCCAGATGATGGCAGAGGAGGTGGAATTTACAATAACCTCCTTCTAGGAACAAACTGGAATGCCAACTAAATTGTAGAAAAATATCATGAATAACCAACTGAACAATAACTGAAGAAAAGCCTTATAACCCAGGAGTTATTAAAGAAACCACATAACCACAAATAAGAATGGTAGGAAGTCTAGCAGTGTGAGACACCTGGCTGGGCTTTCACAGGCGGCAGCTCGAGTTCCAAAGGAATATTTCAGTGGTGAGAGGGTGTCCCCAAGGTCAGCACACCAGTATATAGCACCAGACCTGGAAAAGGCCCCAAATAACATCTGCGTACATGAAAAGTAGCATGGTTTCTGTGTGCCAGGGAGAAATGGCTAGAAACATAGAGAGCCTCTTAGTGGGCCAATGCAAAAAAAATTTGTTTGCAGCCACTTACTCTGGGCCCTGACAGAGGGAGGACAAAGTAAACTAAAGCCTCATGAGGAGAGTCTGGGTTTGGTGGCTCTGGGGAAAGACCTGAAGGGTCAGCCTCCAGCAACCCTGTGCTGCATCATTCCCCACAATGCAGAAGTCACCTTTCTCAGGCAGTGCACTCCCTTCCACATGACATCAGCCTGAGGGAAGTGATAGCCACACCTGCAGGAATCCCTCTTGCCCCACCCTGTGAGGCTTAAGCTGGGCTGCTAAGGAGTACAGATCAAGGCACTTTCAGTGATTAAGCTTAACAGAAAGCCTGCAAGAAGAGACAGATGGTTGGGAAATCTGAGACTTTAGTAGACCCTCCCACAGGTCCCATGATGGTAAAAGCTGGCTTTGAGGTCACCCTGGGTGTTTTGGCACACACCCAGGTCAAGCAGAAAAAGCCATGATGTGTAAATTACTGATAATTTCAAACATTTTGCCTAGGGCCAGTCACAGTCAGCATGTGACAGTGTGACATAGGTCTACACCAGAGTCTGTAAAATTTCTCAAATACATAGAAACAAACACAAAAAGTCAGCCAGAAAAAGAATAAAATAAACAAGCTCCAATGGAAAGAACAAAAGAATTCTCCATAAGAGCAAAATGAAATGAAGGCAAGCAAGTTATCACACGTAAAGTTTAAAGCAGTAATTATAGAATGCTCAGTAACATAAAAAAGACATGGAAACTATAGAAAAGGACAGTCAGAAATAAAGAATGCTATATCTGAAATAAATAATACACTGAAAGGAATAAACAGTAGGTTAGATGAAGCAGAATGTTGAATCAGTGATTTGGAAGACAAGACAGAAAGAACACCCAAGGAGAGCAGCAAAAGAAAAATAAATAATGAATGAATTAATGAATGAATGAAACTGAAAAGAAAGAAAGAAAGAAAGAAAGAAAGAAAGAAAGAAAGAAAGAAAGAAAGAAAGAAAGAAAGGGAGAAAGACAAAACTAAAATATTTTCCTCTAAGATGAGAAACAAGACAAGGTTGTCCACTTTCACCACCTCTATTCAACATAGTATTGGAAGTTTTAGCCACAGCAATCAGAAAAGAAAAGGAAATAAAAGGCATTGAAATCAGAAAGGAGGAAACAAAACTGTCACTGTTTGCAGATGACATGATAGTGTACATGGAAAATCCTATAGACTCTACCCAAAAACTGCTCAACCTAATAAATGAACTTGGCAAAACAGCAGGACACAAAGTCAATATCCAGAAATCAAAGGCATTTTTGTATACCAACAATGAAACAGTACAAGCGGAAAATCTTTAAAAATCACATTCAGTATAGCAAAAAGAAAGGTGTCAAATACCTAGGAATAAACCTAACCAAGGAGGTAAAAGACCTGTATGCAGAAAACTACACAACACTGAAGAAAGAAATCAAGGAAGACACAAACAAATGGAAACATATACTGTGTTCATGGATTGGAAGAATTAGCATCATCAAAATGTCTATACTACTCAAAGCAATTTACAGATCCAATGCAATACCTATTAAAGTACCAATGTCATATTTCACAGACATAGAACAAACACTTCAAAAATTTATATGGAACCATAAACAAGCCCAAATAGCAGCTGCAATTTTGAGAAAGAAGAACAAAGTAGGAGAAATCACAATACCTGATATCAAACTGTATTACAAGGCCACTGTAATCAAAACAGCCTGGTAGTGGCATAAAAACAGGCACATAGACCAATGGAACAGAACAGAGAGCCCAGAAATAGACCCAACTCTCCACAGTCAACTAGTATTCAACAAAGGGGGCAGTAACATAAAATGGAGTAAAGATAGCCTCTCCAACAGATAGTGTTGGGGGAACTGGACAGCTATGTGCAAAAAAAATTAAACTTGAGTACGGACTTACACCATACACCAAAATAAATTCAAGGTGGATAAAAGACTTAAATATAAGCCAGGAAAACATTAAAGTCCTAGAGGAGAACATTGGCAGGAAAATCTCAGATATTTCACGCAAAAACATTTTTACTGATATGTCCCCTAGAGCAAGGAATATAAAGGAAAGAATAAATAAATGGGATCTCATCAAAATAAAAAGCTTCTGCGTGGCTAAAGAAAACAATATTAAATTAAAAAGACAACCAACTGTATGGGAAAATATATTTGCCAATGATACCTCAGACAATGGTTTAATCTCCAAAATATACAATGAACTTATATGACCCCACTCTAAGAAGACAACTAACCCAATTTAAAAAATGGGAAAAGGACTTGAACAAACACTTCTCCAAGGAGGACATACAGAAGATCCAGAGACATATGAAAAGATGCTCAATATCACTAGCCATCAGAGAGATGCAAATTAAAACCACAATGAGATACAACTTTACATCCGTCAGAATGGCTATCATAAACAAAGCAACAAACAACAAATTTTGGAGAGGTTGTGGGGAAAAGGGGACCCTAGTGCACTGTAGGTGGGATTGCAGACTGGTACAACCATTATGGAAAACAGTATGGAATTTTCTCAGAAAAATAAAAATCGACCTGCCTTTTGCCCCAGCAATTCCACTGCTAGGATTGTAACCTAAGAATCCTAAAACATCAATATCAAAGAACCTATGCACCACAATGTTCATAGCAGCACAATTTACAATAGCCAAGAGTTGGAAGCAGCCTAGGTGCCCAGCAGTAAATGAATGGATCAAAAAATTATGATACATTTACACAGTGGAATTCTATGCAGCAGAGAGAAAGAAGGAGCTACTACCCTTTGCAACAACAAGGATGGAACTGGAAAGCATTATGCTGAGTGAAGTAAGCCAGGTGTTGAAAGACAAACACCATATGATCTCACCTTTAACAGAAAGCTAAACAACAAAGCTAACAAGCAAGCAAAATAAAAACAAAGACACTGAAATAGAGGCCAGGGGTCAGTGACCAGAGGGGAGGGAATTTATGGGGGGAAAGGGGAGGGAATTAGAGGAACAAGTATAAAGGACACAGGGACAATAACTAAAGGGGGTGGAAATGGAAGGGAGGTGGGGAGCATGGGGCAGGGTGGGCTGGGATGGTAGAAATAAACAGAAAACTGAAAACAGAAGAGGAAAAAAAAGAAAATGTTTTATAGCCATAACCCACTGTTAAGGATGAGTCTGTTTATTTCCACATTGCTGCCATAACAATTTACTACAAATAGTGGTTTAAAAGAACATAAATTTAGTCTACGGCCATACCACCCTGAACGCGCCCAATCTCGTCTAAAAGAACATAAATTTATTATTTTACTATAATGTCAATAAGAATTCTGGCACTGCCTTACAGGGCTAAAATCAAGTTCTTTTGCAGACTTTAATTCCTTTCTGGAGGCTTGGGGGACGATTTGATTCCTTGATTTTCCCTGCTTCTTATGGCCACTCACAGTCCATCATCCCTTCTCCATCTGCAGAACCAGTAATATTGCACTTCTCTGACCATTCCTCTGTAGTCACTTCTTCTTCTCTCCACAGCCAAGAAAGGCTCCCCACTTTTTAAGGCCTATGGGAGTGTATTTGGGCCATCCAGGTGATCCAGGATAATCTCCCCCATCTTAAGGTCCATGGTTTAATTATATCTGCAAAGCCCACTTGCCATGTGAGATAACACATTACAGGTTCCAGGGATACAACATGGACATCTTGAGGAGCCATCATTCTACCAACCACAGTATTGTGAATAATAATAATGATGATAAAATAGGATTATAAAACTTATTTCCCATATCCGAAGCAAGTAAAATTTTATTCTTACTTTTTTTCTTCTTTTTAATTCCTGGAGTAGAGTTGTTTTCAGGATTCACAGTACCTACAAAGTAACAGGTGGTAGTGAGAAAACAGAAAAGAAGAGATGAAAGTTGCACATATTAGCATGATTAATATTGCAGGAGGGTTGAGTTTTAAAGGGTGTGTGATTTATTGTTTTTCTCTTTCTTTAAAAGGAACTGAAAACCCACTACACTGAGAAGTATGACTTCACAATTGGCCCTGGGTCTTCCTTCATTTTTCAATATCGCTTTAAAAAATTCTCTTAAATCCCATTACACTCAGCAGTAAGAACAGGCATCATATCCTGTTTAGATGGTAGTATTTTTATGAGGGAATCTGTGCAAAAGTTCATATAAAATTTCCCATCTAAACCTGAGACACACTGGAGGACAGGCATCCATAAAAAATGTGTGCTGGGGGTGGTAGCTTTCAAGATGGATGCCTAGTAGGTGGAAGCTACACTAAACTGCTCCTAGCTAGCTCTGAATTTACAGATAATTATAGAGAAATTAATGAGAACAACCAACTGAAGTCTAGCTTCAGGTGATCTGGAAGATTGTGCCACTGAGCACAAGACATCTCCATTATGAAGCCATAATTCCCAGTTTGGGAGTCATAGCAGATCTATCTAATACACAGAGACAAAATGGGAAGATAAAGAACTATGCCCCAAGTTAATGAAGTAAAGAAAATCCCCAGGAAAATAATCAAATGAAATGGAAGTAACCAAAATACCAGATGCAGAGTTTAAAACAATGGTTATAGGATGCTCAAGGACCTTAGGTGAAGAATGGATGATCTCCAAACTTCAATAAAGAGAGAGTAAGCATTAAAAAGGACATAGAAACCATAAATAATAACCAACCAGAAATGTAGAATACAATACCTGAAATGAAGAATATATTATAAGGAATAAATAGCAAATTAGATGAAGCAGAGGATCAAATCATTGATTTAGAAGACAAGATAATAGTAAACACCTAAGCAGAGCATCAAAATGAGAAAAAAATTTTAAAGTTTTTATTGTTGTTCAATTACAATAAATAGTCCCAATTTTTACAATAGGCCCAATTTTTCTCCCATTACTCTCCCCTGACCTACCTACTCACCATCTCCCACATTCAGTCCTCCCCGCTCCTTATCTTTGTTACTGGGTTCCTTATACATGTTCCTTAACTGGACCCTTTCCCTTCTTTTGCTTATTATCCCACTTCCCTTCTTCTCTGGTTATTGTCTGTTTGTCCTTTTTAAAAAATTTTATTGTTGTTCAAGTACAGTTGTTTACATTTTCCCCCCACAACTTCCACCAACCCCAGACATCCCCACCCTCCCCTAAATCCACCCCTCCTTTTGGTTTTGTCTATGTGTTCTTTACTATTGCCCCTGAAAACCCTTCCCCCTTCCCTCATTGTCCCCTCATATCTCTCTTCTGGTTATTGTCAGATTGTTCTTAATTTAATGTCTCTGATTATATTTTGCTTGCTTGTTTCTTTTGTTAATTAGGTTCCACTTAAAGGTGAGATCATATGCTATTTGTATTTCACTGACTGGCTTATTTCACTTAGCATAATGCTCCCCAATTCTATCCATGCTGTTGCAAAGAGTGGGCATTCCTTCTTTCTTTCTGTTGTGTAATATTCCCTTGTGTAAATGTACCAACTTTCTTGATCCACTCATTTACTGAGGGGCACTTAGGATGTTTCCAAATCTTGGCTATTGTACATAGCACAGCTGTGAACATAGGAGTGCATGAGTTCTTTTGAATTGGTGTTTCAGGATTCTTAGGGTGTATTTCCAGTAGTGGAATTGCTAGGTCAAAAGGCAGTTCCATTTTTAATTTTTTGAAGAAATTCCATACTGTTTTCCACAGTGGCTGCACCAGTCTGCATTCCTGCCAACAGTGCACTAAGGTTCCCTTTTCTCCACATCCTCCCAAGTAGTTATTGTTTGTTGACTTATTAATGAGAGCCATTGTGACAGGTGTGAGATGATAACACATCACGGTTTTCATTTGCATCTTTAGGATGGCTAGTTATGAGCATTTTTTCTTATGTCTATGGGCCACCTGTATGTCCCCCTTGGAGAGGTGTGTATTCAGGTCTCTTGTCTATTTCTTAATTGGTAAAAGGTGAAAGATTTATACAATCTGAATTGGATTGCTTGTCCTCCTTAAATTGTATGAGTTCTGTATATATCTTGGAGATTAAACCCTTGTTCAATGTATCATTGGCAAATAAATCTTCCCATCCAGTTGGTTCATTTTTCATTTTGTTGGTGTTTTCTTTAGCCGTGCAGAAGCTTTTTAATTTGTTGAGGTCCCATTTGTTTATTCTTTACTTTATGTCCCTTGCTAGGGGGGGCATATTGGTGAAAATATTGCTTCATGAAATATCTTAAATTGCCCCACCTATGTTCTCTTCTATGACTTTTATGGTGTCATGACTTATATTTAAGTCTTATCCATCTTGAGTTTATTTTTAAGTATGGTGTAAGTTGGTGATCGAGCTTCATATTTTTGCATGTACCTGTCCATATCTCCCAACACCATTTGTTAGAGAGGCTATTTTTATTTTATTTTATGCTCCTGCACACAGGGGAGGAATCTTGTGGTCCAATGTGGCTGATAGCCTTTGCATCCCTGTTCCTGGGCACCAGATGTAGCAGACCCTGGCCAGCAGAGTCTGCCTGTTGTGGATGATGACGAGAATGAATGCACAGATGACAACAATCCTGTGGGGGAAAAGGAAATGGCACAACTACTCTCTCAAGGGGAGAGTGCCTATGGATGCCTCAGCCACTCCCTCAAGAGGGGAGCCCCTAGACCCTTGCCTAGACAGGCTTTTATATTGTTCCCTCAGGTCTTACATCAGAGAAAGATTTATTACCTATTACATAGAATATTATTGTCTATATTTTATGTATAATCAAGGAGATGAAAATAACACGCAGAGGGGGATGGCGGTGAGCTGATTAGCTCTGTCCTTGGGAAAATTCATAGAGGCTTTGGATATAACCTGGAAGATAAACTATATATATTTGTTGTTTTAAACCAGGGTGAGGGAGTTTTAGCAAGAGCAAGCCATAACAATCTGTATGCACTTTTAGGCCTGATTCCCACAGGAAAACTCAGTTTGACAATCTGGCTCTTGCCCACCACGTTGCTTCTGTAGGTTTTCCATACAGAGCTGAGTCACATTTGCCAGACTAAAACAAACTGGTCCCCTGCAGTCCAGTAAGACCACAGAGACATGAGTTTATTTCTGGGTTCTCTATTCTGTTCCATTGATCTATGTGTCTGCTTTTATGCAAGTACCAGACTGTACTGATAGCAGTGGCCTTGTAATATACTTTGATATTAGGTGTTGTGATCTCTCCTACTTTGTTCTTCTTTCTCAAAATGGCTGAAGCTACTCGATGTCATTTATGAATCCATATGAATTTTTGAATGTTTGTTCTATATCTGTGAAGTATGTCATTGGTACTTTAACACAGGTTGCATTGATCTATAAATTGCTTTGGGCATTTTGATGATGTTAATTCTTCCAATTTATGAACATTGTTTTTGCTTCCATTTATTTAGTCTTCCTTAATTTCTCTCTTCAGTGTTGTGTAGTTTTCTGATTATGGGTCTCTTACCTCATTGTTAGGTATATTTCTAGGTGCTCTATTTTTCTTATTGCTGTAGAAAATGGGTATTTTTTCCTGGTTTATGTTCCTGATCTTTCATTGTTGGTGTGCAAGTATGCCTTCAATTTCTGAATATTGACTTTCCATCGCACTGTTTTGCAAAATTCACTTCTTAGATTGAGTAGTTTTTTCATGGAGTTTATGAGGTTTTCTCTGCACACTATCTTGTCATCTGCAAACTATGACAGTTTTACTTACTCCTTTCCAATTTGGATGCCTTTTATTTCTTTTTCTTGTCTGATCGCTGTGGCCAAAACTTCTAATATTATGTGATTGTGTTTGTTCATCTAGAAACAAGAGTAACACTGTCCATCCTGCTTACCTTTCAGAGTTGCTGTAAAGAAAAAAGTAAGACACTCTTTGCAAAGGTCCTTTGAAAAGTCACCACATGTTCATGACTTGCTGAAGAACCCTGTAGAAAAAATACTCTGGGTTTCAAAATACCTTACGCATTTCAGCTAACACTAGATATCTGGAGGAGTTGACTCTTGACACTATTCAAAGTTTGTGATCAGATAACAATGTGACCTTCCAGTAGAGAAATATTTGTTTTTCTCTTCTCTTTAGAAATAATTGTATAAACCCAATACTTTATAGTTGTATCAGTTAATTTTAAAACAAGCACATTACTTTGCTAGCCTATTTCTACTATATGATCAACTTACACATGCATATATTAATAGGACCCATCAATATATAGCCTCATCTTCAAATATATAAATAAAACTATTTCTTGTCTTGCACATCCCATAGTAGTCAAGTAAAATGCAGAAAATGGGATTCCAGAATAAACTGGATCCTTAGTGTAGAATCAACTCCAAACAGATGCCTCATGAAACAATATCTGTTAATTCAGCTTCCTGCAGCCCAAGCCTTGAGCTTCCACCTCCTTACCAGGTTTCCTTTTCACTCCTGAGGTGGAAACTTCTGGGGCCTCTTCTCTGTTTCTCCTTTCCACGGAGTCCTCATTGCTGATCTCTGTACAAAGAAAAAAAAAAACCTTAGTAGCCCAAGGAGCCCATGGACAGGAAAACCCATGACAAGAGCACTAGGAAGACTGAGGAGCTAGTTAAGTCCCGCAGGTCCCCCTGGTCTGTGCCCTAAGATGTGGGCCTGGCAGGTTGTTCCAGGTCCTACACAGAAGGTACTGAGATTCAGGCACAGAGGGCAGTGGTGCCCATCCTGCAGCAATTCTTACCACACAGTCACCCTGTCTCCCACTTCCACCCACATTCTACCTCTTCTTTCTTTCTCATTTTAATTCTTCATCTTCCTGTTGGCTCAAACAATTTCCACTAATTATGCCTGTTGATGGCATGTCTTTATAACTCTCCTTGTCTTCATGTGTTCCGCTTTCTCTCCTGTAACGAGCATCCTGGTTCTTTCATTTTCCTCAACTCCTACATCCCTCACTTTCTTCTATTGCATAGAAACAGTGAGATGTCAATGCTTAAGTCAACCATTTCTGTTTTGATATTTTTCCAATTACTGTGGACACTTCTCTGCTGAACTCACTGCATAAGGCACTGGTTCCCTCCCTACCTTCCTCTAACCCAGGTCACCAGGACAGCCTCCCTGGATGCTCTGACATGTCCCCAGACCCTTTCCCAGTACTCTGATTTACATCACACACTTTCAGTCAGCCTTGCCTATTATGGCAGATGCCTGGTTACAGCCAGTCCTTCCTTGGGCTTCCCAATCAACTCCTGAGTTAAAAAATGGCTTTTCCTTCTTTATGTTTGCTGGATCTGTAGGGCCGGAATTCACTGGGATTCCAGGGATCAGTAGCTCTGCTCCTGGACCAAATTGCAAAAATGCAGAATTTCACTTGTCTCTTCAGAGAGAGTGAGCCTCCTCACTACAATTAAGCTCTTCTCTCCGTGATTCCACTGCAGGGAGAGCTCTCCCACCCTCTCCTTTCCTGCTGGTCTACTGTCCTTCCTTTGTGCCTCTTTTAACTTTTTTTAAATTAATTTTTACTTTTCGGAGGAGAGGCCTATTTTTATCTGAGAAGGTTCTCCGGCTATTTTCTTTACTGTGGACACCTTACCTTCTCAGTGGAATTAGGATAAACCCCTTCTGCCTTCTTTGTGGCGACTGTCTCTTCCAATCGACAATGCTTGGTCCTCTCTCCACCAGTTCTTCATTCATTGTCCTTACTCATTCTCAACATAGTGCTCTTGGTGTCTTCCCATTTTTACTATTTATCGATATTTGTTTCCCTCTATATCTTCTTCTATTACTACTTATTTCCCTACACTTATGATAACATTATGCACCAGGGCCCAGCAGGGTCCAGGGTGAAGCAAAGTAGCTGTCTACAGCACAGGAGGTGCTGACAGTGAGATCCTCTTCACAGGTCTTTGGGTGCCTGCCTCACCCTGAATCTGACCCTGCTGTGCCCTATGTGAACCTTCAGTTTATCCATTCTCTGTAATGTTTCCTACTTTCCCCTATTGTATTTCTTAATTATTTTTGTGACCTGTGAATGCCTCTTCTATATCAATTTTGTCTTTATGTTCTCTCCATCTAAGCATTCCCATCATTACCAAGGTTATACTTCTGTGACTGTGTTCATCACATTGAGTCCCTCCACCTGCCCATTCCCCTCCACACTCATCCAACCCAGACACTCAGTCTTACCTGCTGGCTCAGACTGTTGGGCACATTGTTCACTTGCTTGTTGACTTTCTAGTGCAGCATTGCTGCCAGTGGTTGTATCAGCACCCATTTCTGCAGAGGCTTGCTGTGTGAGTCTATTATCAGATGTGGCAGGATCTAGACCACATTTTGATTGATAGATATTTTATTTGACCCCTGCATCACTCAGGGTCCAAAAGAAAAATAAAATTCAAAGCTCTCTAAGCTTTAGAGAGAAAATTTAGTCCAGATGATTAGTTATACAGCTGATGGAAGAGCTGAGAAGCCCAAATGGAGAATGTGGTAGCGGGCAAAATGGTCAAGGGGAAGGTATGTGACGAGCTAAGGGTGAGGTCATGTCCCAAGGTCACCAGGTAGAGAGAAGCTGAACTATGGCTGGCCTACATGGTGGGAAGTGGTATCATGGGGAAGATGCAGCCACCGTCAGAGTTGAGGCCCAAGAAAGTGAGAGCAATATTTACCAGCTTCTCCCTTACTCCAACCCTCTAATGTCTTGCTACTGTCTACCAGGTTAGGAACCCAGCTGGATACAGTGCAATGGAGCTGGCAAGCAAGTCTGCAGGGGTCTGTGGCCAGAGTTACAGGGCAGAGCAGAGCAGGAAACAAGCAAGGAATGAATCTCTGAGTAAACCTCCCAGGTTTACTCAAACCCAGGTTTACTGCATACACTCTTCCCCACAGAGAGCCTCCTCTATTCATTATTGATCCCACTGACCCATCCCACTCTGTTCCCACCAACTCCAATACTTTCATTGCAGCTTGACCTTTTTTATTCAGAGCTATTTTTCTAAGTAAAGTAATTTATTAAAAATGTGATTTACAAAATTAATTTTCACAATTTTAACATAGAACTTGGGCTCTGGTGCATTCTCATGCAATATCCATAGTTCCTAGGAGCCACCTCTTGGAAAAAGGACATGAGACACAGCCTTTTCTGCCTCTGTGCATGTCACGGTTAACCATCCTAGATGGGTCAGACTCTTGGACACATTTATTGGTGGTTTGTTTTCAATATTTGGGTCATTGCTTCCTCCCCACCACACCCCCTATACACACATACACACAGTGAAACCCTTTTATGCCCATTACTTATCACTGTTCTTTCCTCTTACCCCTCCTGTTCGCACCAGCTCACTTGTTGATGAAGTAGTAAGAGTATGGATTGATGCATGTTGGATGTTTTACACTCTTAAATATTAATTTTTTGAGTAAGCATGACTCGTGAAAAGTATAAAGGTGCTCTCAAAAATCATTCTGAAAGGTTTTATTTAAATCAAAAGGTATTACTAATTTAAAACATTCTTTCTCAAATAACACATCCCTGTGGAGGCTACATAATATGCCTTCCAGGGTGTTTGAGAGCAGTGCCAGGCCTCCAGCCCTGGAACTGAAGGGAAAAGGTTTGCCCAAGATTCACATGGTGTCTGTGGTCCTGTGTGAAAGATCCAACACATGAGAGACCCTGGCCGAGGGGGAACACTCATTATTTCTACCCCACTCTTCTCAGTGCAGTACTGGCCACTGCTGGGTATGACTTCAAAGCAAGGCTGACCCAGTGTCAAGCAATACAGAGGCAGAAGACTGAAAGCAAGTGCACGGGCAATAGGTCCAGGCCAAGGATGGCAGAAGCTGGCAGCACATGCAGGAGGTAGGGAAGGGCCAGCCCTCCCAGCAACCTGGAAAATGAAGACTCTGTTATGTAAATATTTGGGGAAACTGCAGATGCAAAGAATGACTATTCCAGACAATCAGCCCTCATCCTCCGCCCCCCACAGCACATGCTAGAATAAGATAAGAACAGCAGTTACTAGAAACACACCAGTGTTATTCATGGAAAATGGGCTGCTCCAAAGCAGGTTTAGACATGAGTTTTTACCAGATCCTGGGGGAAGAAATAAGAAATTTATTTTAGAAACTGAAGTACGAGCTGTGCTGTTCTGCCCTAGTCCCATGTAAACCTTTACAAGGTAAGACTTGATAATCCCCTCCCCCAGGTATTAATACAGATCTCATCTGGACCTCAGGTTCCCATGTGACTATGGCCATCCACTACACTGCTGGCCTCAGCCAGACCATCTTACTGAGACTGTTCAGAAGCCACTCAGTAACTGCAGATGGCTTTTTGTGTTACCCAAAGTCACCATGAACTATTTTTTTAGAGCTGCCTTTGACTGGTAACCTTACTTTCTACAAAATTTTGTTCTCTCTTCCCCACTTCCCTTCATACCACATCATGACTCTGCATGTCTGTTTTTCTGTATTGTTGGACTTTTCATGAGATTCATTGTCTGATTTCCTGCACTTCCTCCAGCTCCTGGTATTCTTCTTTTTCTGTGTTTCTCTCTCTCATGTTCCCTATTTTTGTCTCAGGCTTCTGTCTTTTCTATGAAACTATCTGGTGTGCACAGGGTTGGGAACAAAGACTCTGGGTTCAGAATATCTAGGTTTATCTTGCCTATTTGACCCCAAGCCAACTGCCTACACAAGTCTCTCTAGATTTCAGTCTCCTTTTTTGCACATGGGCAGATAGTGAGACTACTCCCCAAGGGCAGCTGTGAGCACCAAGCCCACAACTGCATGAGTAAATGTTCAATAAGTAAGCTCCTAATAATATGGTTGTTTTATTGTGTCTTTCACTTTCTTCTCCTGTCTTTCTCTTCCTTCTCTCTCTCTCAGATTATAACCATCCTCTCCTCCACATCTTACTACTTCCCCTCTTCTCTCCTCATATGACTGCCTCTTTCCTTGAACATTCCTGCTCTTGAACAGCATCCCCTATATTTAAATCAGTCCTATTTTCTCTCATCATCAAGGATCACCTATGTGATGTTGACTGTGTGTCCACAGTTCCTAGTCCTTCATATCTTCACACTGATCTTCTCTCACAGAGTTTTTCTAAATCACAATTACTTCCAGGTCAGCATTATTATTAAATCTGGTTTCCTGACACTCTGGGTTCCTGTTCCTTTGTCTTGGTTATGGGGCTCATGGTCTCCCATCACAGCTACTCCTCCAGGATTGGCCTCTGGGCCCATGCTCACACAAATCCTCCCCACTACATTCTCCTCCACAGTTCTCCCCAGATTCCCAAACCTTGCTCTGGCCTCAGAGCCCACCTCCCTTTCTCCCTTCCTCTTAGCAAATGAGAATTTGTTTTTATCTGGTTGCAATCACCTTGGTCAAGGCTTGGTTGGGCATCAGATTGCCCCTTGTTTTCTGCATCAGTCTCCAGGAAATCTTTTATGTCTGGCATTTCTAAAAGAAGGCAAGAGAAGAAGACAATTAGAGATTGCCATCAGAATAGTGACATTACCTCAAATTACAAGTTTAAGAATTTCTACATGTGTTGTAGAGAATGTGTTAATAAAACCTTTCCCCCTTCTTCAAAAGCAAATTTGAGTTTGGGTTAATTTTTTTTCTCATTACTCTGGAAACCTATGAAAGTGGCCTCCCTCTGTGTTACTAGACAACACTGGGTTTAGGGTGAAAAATGAGCAGTGACAGTTTGGAGGGAGGTTGCATGTGGCCTGGGAGGGACAAAATATAAACTCTAAGCCATTTTTTGTTTTCTTCCAATGTGGTGACTCTTGTAAGTTGGCTCCTTTCTTGTGGGATTGTGGTAAGTTATGATTATAGAGTTGTTACATGAGACACTGACTCCCATGGGCATGGTGTGGCTAGAACATGGTGGATCCCACACTCATAGCTAAGCTGTCACTTGAGGCAGGTAGTACATGACTGGATGGACTGCTGTGTGGACCTCTATTAGGGGTCCCACAGAAGAGCAGCAACTGATGCCACACTTTAGGGATGTTTATACTTATTGTCATTTGTTATTCTAAATAAATCTGATGCCATTGTGTCTCCACATCTCCTGTGAGTCTAAATGCCTAGTTAAGCAGACCTCCTGGTGGGTGTTATACTGTAGCCATTACATCATAAGCTATGGGAGACTCATGACATGTCTGTTTTCTGAACTGCTGTAGCCCCACTGCCCAGCATGGTGTTTGGCACATGGTAGGAACTCAGTATATACTTGTGGGGAAAAATTGGCCCTGGACATCAAAAAGTCAGTCATAAACCTAATTACCTTTTTTGAAGATTCTGTAACTGTCTTTTAAATCAGGATAGTTCTCCATGATGGCCTTGCTGAACAAAGCACCCAGAAGGGTCAGGTCAAATGTCTTCTCCAGTTCGCTAAGAATATCATATACAGCTTCTTGTACAGAAATCCGTTTTATAAGACTTTCTCGAGACTCCTTAAAAAATAATGAATGGGAAAAATATAAGTACAGAAGAGCCCCAAGAAAGTGCTTTTATTGTTAATGTATGACAGTTTCCAGAGATAGTATCTTCTGATGTAAAAGTTTAGAATTTGTATGTTCATATGACTACTAAGTGGAACAACTAAATCTGTCTTCCTTGAAAATATCTGTGAATTTGATCTCCTTATCCTCGTTTACAGTAGATGGAAGGAGGAACAATTTTGTAGGACAAAAATAGGTTCAGGTTAAGTGATGTGTAACACTTGCAGAGCCTGGCCAAATGTTTTAGGAATCGACAGAGTAGGTGATGAGCTGCTGTTCCATTGACTGGAAAACGCTTGTCCCTTCCCCAGGACAGACTCAGCCTAGAAGGGCTCAGGGAAGCCAAGTGATGCTTTTTCCCTTCCTGTGAACTTTGCCATAAAGTAAGCATATTCATAGGGAAAGAGAAAACTTGTACTCTGCATTTCCACTTAAGTTTTTTGCTAAAATTAACAGAATTCCAATACTCCAGAAATACCAAAAGAAAAGAAAAAATAGGAAAGGAGGTGAACATTGTGGTCTTCCCACAATGTTGAGTTTCTCCACAACTGAACACTGTGAAAAAACAACAGCAAGCATTTACTTTCAAATTTGTCATAACAGGACACTTATTCTCTGGAAACTTTAATGTTCTCAGATCTAAATATTTAAATTGATAGTCATTGAAATGAAATGTTGTGACAATTATTATTTTATTAAATGAAATCATTAAGCTTATTCATCCATTCATTAAAATTACTGGGGTTTTTTCCTATTTTGTGCTATATTGTATATGTAAATTCTACAAGGCATTATTCATCTGTGGGTCCAACCTATGGTGAGTAGTCTCCAGGGCTATTCACCAAACTCTGGGGGCACCATGGGGCACTGTTCCCTCAGTCAGGAGCAGCACTGTTTCTAAGAATGCCTGTTTCTCTTCTCCCTTCTGACCTTGTAGGAACACTTACAGCAGTACATGAGAAGGTTCCCACTCACAGGAGACTCCTCAGTTGTCTAGTTGTTCTCTGACGTTTGACTCCAAATACTTCAGAAAAAAACATAGTTTAGTACTGTGTGCCAGATTGTGACAAAGTAAACCTCACTTACTTTATATTTTTCATTGGTGATGAATCCACGGTCCCGGAGAATTTCAAATAGAGGAAATGCTTTATTTATTGCATTTGAAATTTCCACCTTATACTTTTTGAAGAGTTCGCCTGCAGTCTTTTTAAGACTGTTATATTTCTCCTCGTATTGTGCAGACATTCTAGAAAGAAAGGATATCATGATGAAATGGTAGATCAATCTTTGGCTGTAGGTCCCCACTTTTCACAACTTTGAATATTTCTTGCTAATCCCTTCTAGCCTCAAAAGTTTCTTTTGAGAAATCAGCTGATGGTTTTATGGGAACTCTTCTGGATGTAACTAATTTTATAGGCTTAATATTTTACACACGAAGGACAGGCTGAGAAGAACTAACCTATACAAAATAAGTGGCCATGAGTAACAGATTAGAACAAATAGAATTGAAACAATAGACAAAGCTACAATAAAGTGAAGCATGGTGGTTTAGAAAGATGTACATACTATTGGAAAATTCCAGTTCGTCGTAATCAAAGGTATTGTAAAGTTAGTGTTATTTTTGTCTTTTAAATTATATTTTATTGATTATGCTATTACCTTTGCCACATTTTCCCCCCTTTGCTTCCCTCCGCCCAGCACCCCCTAATCCTTCAGGCAATCCCCCCACCATTATTCATTTCAATGGGTCATGTGTAAAAATTCTTTAGCTACACCATTTCTTATACTGTACTTTACATGCCCATATCTATTTTGTAACTACCTATTTGTACTTCTAAATCCCTTCATCAATTCACCCATTTCCCCGTGCCCCCCTCCCTTCTGGCAACCATCAAAACATTCTCCAGATCCAAAGGTTCTATCTCTGTTCTTGTTTGTTTAATTTGGTTTAAGATTCCATTGTTGATAGATATACATTTATTGCCATTTTTATATATTTTAATGATTATGCCATTACAGTTGTTCTATTTCCTCCCTTCATTCCCCTCCACCCTGCACATCCCCTCTCCCATTCCCCCCCATTAGTTTATGTCCATGTGTCACAAGTTCTTTAGATTCTATATTTCCCATACTATTCTTGCCCTCCCCTGTGTCTATTTTCTACCTACCATCTATGCTACTTATTTTCTGTACCTTCTCCCCCCTTCTCCTCCTCCCACTCCCCTGTTGCTAACCCTCCATGTGATCTCCATTTCTATGGCTCCACTCCTGATCTAGCTATTCTCTTAGTTTGCTATTGTTTTAGGTGTGGCTGTTAAATAACTGTGAGTTTGCTGTCCTTCCACTGTTCATATTTTTTACCCTCTTTTTCTTAGATAAGACCCTTTAACATTTCATATAATAAGGGCTTGGTGATGATGAACTCCTTGAATTTGACCTTATCTGAGAAGAACTTTATTTGCCCTTCCATTCTAAATGAAAACTTTGCTGGATAGAGCAATCTTGGTTGTAGGTCTTTAGATTTCATGACTTGGAATACTTCTTTCCAGCCCCTTCTTGTCTGCAAGGTTTCTTTGGAGAAATCAGCTCAGCTAACCGTCTGATGGGAACTCCTTTGTAGGTGACAGTCCCCTTATCTCTTGCTGCTTCTAGGATTCTCTCCTTCATTTTCATCTTGGCTAATGTAATGATGATATGCCTTGGTATGTTCTTTCTTGGGTCCAACTTCTTTGGGACTCTCTGAGCTTCCTGGATTTCCTGAAAGTCTATTTCCATTGCCAGATTGGGGAAGTTCTCCTTTATTATTTGTTCAAATAAGTTTTCTACTTGTTGCTGTTCCTCTTCCCTTTCTGGTACTCCTATGATTCAGACGTTGTAATGTTTAAAAATATCCTGGAGGTTCCCAAGCCTCTCCTCATTGTTTTGAATTCTTGTTTTTTCATTCATTTCTGTTTGGTCATTTTTTTTTCTCCCTTCTGGTCCACTCCCTTGATTTGAGTCCCAGTTTCCTTTCCATCACTATTGGTTTCCTGTGCATTTCCCTTCATTTCAATTAGTTTAGCCTTCATTTGTTCCTCTAATTTATAAGTAAAATCAACCAGTTCTGTGAGCATCCTGATCACCAGTGTTTTGAACTGTGTATCTGATAGGCTGGCTGTCTCTTTGTCACTTAGGAGCTCTGGGGCTTTGAGCTGTTCTACCTGAGCCATAATGTTTTGGTCTGTTCGCACCTGTTACATATGAGGGGTGGAGCCTTAGGTTTTCACCAGGGTGGGGCAACCCAATCACTGGGTTGTGATGCTGTTTGTGGGGGCAGGTTCAGAGAGGGGCAATGGCATCTGTTCTGCTCTCTCTCGAGTTTTGGTCCCCTCTGCTGTTCCCACAAGCAAACTGGGCACTGTTGGTGCTGGTTCCCAGGTGTGTGGGCTTGTGCACCCTCCAGGATCCTGTGGGTCTCTCCAACAAACTGTGAGCCTGGGAGCCTCTCCCGGGCTCTTGATCCTGAAAGTTTTTCCAATCAGTGCTTTTAGGCTTTAACTCTCATCACTGGGGCCCTAGTTTGCGCAGTCTGCCCCACTGCTTGCTCCTTCGCCTGGTTTATTTGAGTGTAAATGTGTGACCATGGTCAGCCAGTCACCTTGCACCCTCACTGGGTCCACCTGTTGCCACCCCACACCTGGGATCTGCCAACCACTGCCTGCGCACCTGGGTTGGTTCAGCTGCTTTTGCCTGTACCACCCCTCTCCCCCAGCCACCAACTCCGCCCCTCTTACTGGTCTGGCTGAATGGTTCGTTGTTGTCAAACTTCCATACAGTTCAATTATCTGTGTTTTGGTTGCATTTTTGATACTGAAATTTTGTTTTCTTTAAATTTGGTTGTGTGAGGAGGCACAGCATTTCCACCTACGCCTTTATCTTGGCCAGAAGTCCAGAATCATTAATGCCTTTTTATTGTTCATAGTTCTGATCTTTTTTAACATAAGTCTCTTTAACATTGCATATAATAACAGTTTGATAATGATGAACTCCTAGAGTGTTTTCTTTTCTGGGAAGCTCTTTGTCTGCACTTTGATTCTAAATGATTACTTTGCTGGGAAAGCAGTCTTTGGCAGTAGGTCCCTGCATTTCACAACTTTATATATTACTTGCCAATCCCTTCTAGCCTGAGAAGTTTCTTTCGAGAAATCAGTTGACAGTTTTATGGAAATTCCCCGGGAGGTAACTAACTTCTTTTCTCTTGCTGCTGTTAAGACTCTTTTTTTAAAAAGATTTTATTTATTTATGGACTTCCGCCAAGATGGAGACGTAGGTGGAGGAACCACCTTGCCTCTGTGCACAACCAAATCTAAGAACAACTATTTTTCACAACAATCACAACCAAGCCACACGGAAAATCGACAATACGGAGTCCAAAGACAACTAAATACTCAGCTAAACCGGTAAGAGAAGCGAAACCAGCAGCGGAGCAGGTTGGCAAGAAAAAATCCCCAAACAGGTGGTGCGCGGCGCTGATCGCAAGCTGGCTACCAGAACGCACAGGGAAGAGGCGCGGGGGCGGGGGGGGGGGGGCTGTCTCAGTCGGTGGCGCGCATCTGCGTGAGGAGAAACCAGTGAGAAGGGAAGCCTGTGCGGGGCAGCAGGCTCGTACAATTCCGATCGGATAAACAAGCCCAGGGCGAGTGGTGTGACTGGACGGGCTGGGCTAGCGGAGAGGACCGCCATTGCTCCCTCTCTGACCACACCCCCACACACAGCGTCACAAACCAGCAACCTGGGTCGCCCCGTCCTGGTAAACAACTAAGGCTTCGCTCCTCTTACTAAACGGCACGAATAGACCAAAAACGGCTCTAGGACAACTCAGAGCCCCAGAACCCATAGATCTAAGTGATGAAGAAATAGCCAGTCTTTCAGATGCACAGTTCAAAACACTGGTTATCAGGATCCTTACAGAACTGGTTGATTTTAGTCACAAATTAGAGAAACATATGGAAGCTAAACTAATTGAAATGAATGGTAATACAAAGGAAACCAATAGTAATGGAAAGAAAATTGGGACTCAAACCAAGGGAATGGACCAGAAGGAAGAAAAAAATGATCAAGCAGAAAAGAATGAAGAAATAAGAATTCAGAAAAATGAGGAGAAGCTTAGGAACCTCCAGGACATCTTTAAACGCTCCAACATCCGAATTATAGGGGTACCAGAAGGGGAAAGGCACAGCCACCAGTGGAAAACTTATTTGAACAAATAATAAAGGAGAATTTCCCCAATCTGGCAATGGAAATAGACTTCCAGGAAATCCAGGAAGCTCAGAGAGTCCCAAAGAAGTTGGACCCAAGAAGGAACACACCAAGGCACATCATCATTACATTAGCCAAGATTAAAATGAAGGAGAGAATCCTAGAAGCAGCAAGAGCTAAGGGGACAGTTACCTACAAAGGAGTTCCCATCAGACTGTCAGTGGATTTCTCAAAAAAGACCTTACAGGCAAGAAGGGGCTGGAAAGAGGTATTCCAAGTCATGAAAACCAAAGACCTACAACCAAGATTGCTCTATCCAGCAAACTTTTCATTTAGAATGGAAGGACAGATAAAGTGCTTCTCAGATAAGACCAAATTCAAGGAGTTCATCATCACCAAGCCCTTATTATATGAAATGTTAAAGGGACTTACCTAAGAAAAAGAAGATAAAAAAAGATGAACAGTGAAAGGACAGCAAACTCACAGTTACTAACAACCACACCTAAAACAAAAGCAAACTAAGAGGACAGCTAGATCAGGAGCAGAACCATAGAAATGAAGATCTCATGGAGGGTTAGCAACAGGGGAGTGGGAGGAGGAGAAGGGGGGAGAAGGTACAGAAAATAAGTAGCATAGACAGTAGATAGAAAATAGATAGGGGGGAGGGTAAGATTAGTAGGGGAAATACAGAATCTAAGGAATTTGAGACACATGTTCATGGACTAAAGGGGGAAATGGTGGGGGAGGGGCATGCAGGGTGGAGGAGAATGGAGGGGGGAAATAGAGCAAATGTAATGGCATAATCAATAAAAAAAAAGATTTTATTTATTTATGTTTAGAGGGGAAGGGAAGGAGAGAGGGAGAGAAACATCAATGTATGGTTGCCTTTCATGCATCCCCTGCTGGGAACTGGCCTGCAGGGAACCGGCCCACAACCCCAGTATGTGCCCTGACTGGGAATCGAACCGCAATTGTCTGGTTCACAGGCCTGTGCCCAATCCACTGAGC